TGACTTCTCTGTCTCTTACTGATTTTGTACTTCTGTGGGTGACTCCTCAAGATGGGGACACTGCTGTTGACAAACTCTTCAATGACACTTGTATCCTGGTCTTCCCTCACTATGTACCCCACTATAATACCCCTACATTTGTGTGTGTGTGTGTGTGTGTGTGTGTGTGTTGTAAATTCTAAGCTTCCTGAGGCAGAGGAGGGCATTGGTTATGATCACTCTGACTTATTCTTGGGACAGGGTTTCTCACTAAACCCGGAGCTGGGCTTGTGACCAACAAGCCCATAATGATCCCCTTGTCTCCACCCTGTCCCTGCCCCTTGCCCAGAGCACTGAGCTCAGCATCCAGGTGGAGGCCACACCAGTTTTATGTGGGTGGTGGGGATCTGAACTCGGGGTGATCTTGTTTGTCACCTATTAAGCCATCTCCCTGGCCCCAAATCTGCATTTTAAAAGCCTAACCCTACAGTTCAAACTGTTGCTGTTAATCTTTAGGACACACCCCAAATTCTGCCCCTCCCCATCATTACTTCCTGTTTCCACCTGGCCTCCATTTCTACTCCAGTCTTGATGCCAGCGCTGGAAGCAAAAGTGTTACACCTGGGTCGAAGGTCTTGGGACAAGTGCAGCCATGGCTTCAAGAACATTTCGGAGCCACACGTAGCGGCGGCACACGTGTGTAATCCCAGAACCTGGGAGGCCTTGCCTACAGTTTGCGGTCACTCTGAGCAACATCGTCAGACCCTGACTCGAAACAACCAAAAAGGAGGCTAGCAGGACGGCTCAGTGAGCAAAGGTACTTGTTGCCAAGCCCAACAACCTGTTAGATCCCCGGAGAGGTTGGCTGAAGGCTCTGACCTCCACATACAAGCGCACGCCGTGGCCCGATGTGCTCACCTCATCTCTACCCCCAGTAAACAAATAGCCGTAATGTGAAATACTTTCCCAACAAGCAAACCAAACAAGACTGTTTCTGGAAACTGTAATAAACTCAGCTGAACAACACTGGTCTTCAAAGACAAACACAGCTTTGCTCCATTGGGTGGTTTTCTGGGTACTCTCTCATCTGTGGCATGGCCTCCGGGTCCTTTGGAACACAATCACCTGCTGCTCACTGGGCGTCTGTGGTGTTCTGAAAGAAAATGGCCCTCGTAGGGAGTGGTACTAATGGTAGGTGTGGCCTTGTGGCAGAAGTGTGTCACTGTGGAGGTGGGCTTTGAGATCTCCTATGCTCACGCTACACCCAGTGAGACAGATCACTTCCTGTTGCCTGTGAGTCAAGATGTAGGACTCTCAGCTCCTCTCCAGCACCATGTCTGCCTGCCATGTCCCACTATGATGATCATGGACTGAACCTCTGAGTTCAGTAAGCGAAAACCACTGCAATGAAATGTTTTCCTTTATAAGAGTTGCTACGGTTCTGGTGTGTCTTCAAAGCAATAGAAACTCTGAATCCCACCCCTGCTCATTCATATCTGCTGCCAGCTATGACACTCCTGAGGTTCCTGCAAAACACACACACACACACACACACACACACAAACACACACACACACACTTATTTCAGGTTCGGGGTCTGGCTGCTCTCCCCAGCCTTGGATGGTGATTCATGATTTGTCTTCACCCTCAGGAAGTAAGGGTTCCCTGACTCCCCCTTGCAAGGCTCACCCCTTCCCCAAACTCTTTATTCCTTCTCCTTTGCCCAAGTCTACCCACCTGTGTACATTTGGCTCACATGGCTTGTTAATGACCCGTTTCCCACTTACTACAGACTCTGGGCCTACTATGTATAAAGCTGAAGAGACGTCGGATGGACAAACAGAGAGCGTGGTTTTATATTCTGCTGTCGATTACTTAAGCGTGTACCCTACACATGCAGGAAGATACTGATCTCTGAGAACCTGTCATCAAGGCGGTCCTGGTTGGCTGTAGCTGTCAACTTGATGGAGACTCTTATAGAAAGAAAGGGGGAGTGATGATTTTTTAACTAAAATTGTATTATTACTGGCAGGGGGTGTCACATGTGGAGGTCAGGGGACAACTTGTAGGAGTCAGTTCTTTTCTTTCCACCATGCGGGTCCCAGGGATTGAATGCAGACCATCATGCTTGGTGACAAGCACCTTTACCTGCTGCGCCATCTAAATCAGCCCCTGTGATAAGATTAATTTTCCTTCTAATTATGTGTTTAAGCGTGTGTTTGTGAGTGCATGAGACTGCAGACGCCAGCAGAGGCCATCCTGACAATCCCCAGAGTTGGAGTTGCAGACAGTTGTAAGCCACCTGACATGGCTGCTGGCAACTCCAGTCCTCTGGAAGAGCAGTGTGTGGTATTTTCATTTGTATGGTTTTGGTTTTTCAAGACATGGTTTCTCTGTGTAGCCCTCGCTGGTCCCAAACTCACAGAGATTTGCCTGCCTCTGCCTCCTGAATGCTGGGACGGGGTCATCTCTGTGGAATCCTGGCTGTCCTAGAATTCTCTCTGTAGACCATGCTGGTCTCGAACTTAGAGATCTGCATGTTTCTGCCTCCCTAGTGCTGGGACTAAAGACCTGGGCTGCCATCAGGCTTCAGTGTGTGATCTTAATGGAGTGAGTACCACTGAGTCATGTCTCCAGCTAGGATTTCAAAACAACTTCCAATGTAAAGTTCACTTAGCAATTTAAATACATAGGTAGGCACGCCATATGGACATTTTTGCTGCTTTTCTTCCCCAGACAACCAAAAAAAGACAACAGAGGATTGTGTATTTTGTTTAATACTTGCATTGTTTCTATAGCGCAATTATAGCAATCTTTAAGTTTACTTTTCATTACAAATATTTGTCAAGTTTTGTTTCAGAAACATTTTTCCTACTTTCTTGCACATGCGCCCAGACACACTACAAAAAATTCATTCATAACACAGTAAGGGCAAACATTACTCATGTAAACATCTTCCATTAATTTCCCATAATTAAAAAAATCATAGAATTATAGATATTGAATAAGGCTCATAGATTTACTTTAAATTCCACAAAAGACCAAAGATGGTTTTTTTTTGAACTGTGATATGGTTGACTTTTGGTTACGACCCAAGGCCGAAAGCATAACCCGTGGCTTCCATTCTGTAAACATACCTCACAACTCAACAAATGCATTTCTGGATGGAAAGAGAACATAGAAAACCCAGGAGGAAAAACATTTGGAGAAGGGAGCTAGAAATCATGGATATAACTTCATAACTTTCTTATGCAACCACCAGGCATGACATACAAAGTCCCTGTAGTATCATGGCTAATTATGGAAACCAAGTTGAGGAGCAGGGCGCACTGGCTCAGTGTTCATATTGCTAGTGTACACAGTGAAACTCTGTCAGATTCTGCTTTCATTACATCCAGGACCAAAGGTGGGTTGGGGAACACACTCAGTGGCATGTCACTGTTAAAGGATTTTTTTGTTTTGTTTTGTTTTCCTTCCCAGTAGCGTCAGAAGAGTTGGGAGGCATGTCTTAGGTACATGAATGGTCTTCATATTAAAATGACATTTAACAACTGCATGTAAAGTCACAGACAGGAATCGAGGGTTTCCATTATCCGCGGAAGTCTCCCTCTCTGGTGAAGTTGGGTGCTTGGATGCATAGTCTTCCAGAGCTGAGACGGGATTCGGACTGTGCTGAGGATGGACCCCCACCAGCGGCTGCCCGCCTCCTCTGCGAGAGGGAGGGCAGAAGGCAAAAAGCATTGGTAAATCTGTGAAGTCCCACCCCGGGGTCTGGACCCCAACTCCACTGAGGGTAGCCTCCCTGACATTGTGACTAGGCAGTTAGGGGTGGCGAGTGAAGGTGGCCGGGAAACCTAGTTCTGAGGTTTACACGGCCAAGTCTGGTTTCTATTCCGTATGCCCTGCAAAGAAATTGTGCTCCGATAACTGCACCGTTGTCTCTAATGCCTCGATTCGCTTCCAGGCTCCTGGGAGGCCTGCAGGGAATCACTAAAAGGTAAACACACCTCCATTAGCACCGAACTTACCACCAGAAAGCGGCTGAGGCACTCGGGAAGCCTACCTCACATCAGACACCACCCCGCCAGGAGGTGGTCGCCAATCAGAGGGCTTTGTAGGCTTTTGATTTCTAAAAATGAAAATTGATCTGCATTATATCTCAATAGACTCAGATAATTCTCACCAAAAATTTTGTCATGTGTTTAAATAGCACTGGAATAATTCAACTTCATTTAAATATATTCATTCTACCATGAAAATATTTCATACAAACATCTATTTACATACAAACACATTAAAATTTGTGAAAAGGGCTTCTACCCCTGTGGCTGTATGGCTTGAAATAGTTTCATTGCTTTGAATATGTATGCACACATTTGGCAAATAAAACTTTTAAAATGTAGTATTTTTGAAAACAACCCCCCAAAACCCAAACAAACAACCCCCCCAAAACTTCACAAGAAACCCTCAAAAATCAAAAAATGAAACAAAGCAAAACAAAAAAACCCTGACACCAAGGCTTAAAATTTCTGAAGGGAAAAAAATCCAAGATGTGTGTTGGGGAATCAGTCAAGGTACTTCAGGTACCTAAAAATGGAATCTATTTTGTGAACCTTTGATCTGCAGCAAATGAACATCATAACTCGCCATCTTGCAACACAGTTTTGCTTGTTTGTCTAAAACAAAAGATGTCTGGACTCTAAATCACTACTCTGAAGACAGAACTTGAGGTGGCTGTTGGAGAACAAATAAAACCCAGAAGATTTTACTTTCTTGGAAGATTTTAAGTGCATTTTGCAGTGAGAAATTTAGATTTTTAAAAATCTCTTAAGTGAAGATTAATAAAGTGCCACATACTGTCTTACTAAGACAAACTTTTAATTCAGTATTCATAGTTGCCCCCCCCCGCATTAGGGATGTAATCCAGGACTGCTAGGCAAATGTTGGACCACTGAGCTATGTCTACCCAGCTCAATGCAATTTTAATTGTCACAATAAAATGTTGTATATGGCCTTGTCAGTTTGTGTGTGTGTGTGTGTGTGTGTGTGTGTGTGTGTGTGAGAGAGAGAGAGAGAGAGAGAGAGAGAGAGAGAGAGAGAGAGAGAGAGAGAGGAAATAGTTTTTCAAGTGTGATGAACCCCAAAGGGTAATGAATCTGAACTCTAGTCCCAGTCTGGTTCAAAGAGGTCTTGACAAATGTCCTTCTCAGTTGCTAGGGTAGACCTGGGGTCAAGCAGGTTAAAATAAGAATAGGTACTAAGAAACTCAAGTCCTCCCTGCCTGTTACCTTTTAGCCTCATCGTTCTTCTGTGTCTTAAATTCAGTTTTTACATCTGCTTGTTAGTTCAAACGAATGCCCCACTTTTTAGGGACAGGCTCTGTAGATTAGTTCCTATTCCTAAGTCTAACACAAGGTAATAGTTTATCATAGAAAAGATGCTAATGATGGATCAAATCATGCAAGGTTGAACTGAGACAGCTCGGAATGAATCCCCTGGAGACCATGGCCTCGGGAGAGTGCACAGGCCCCAGCTGTGTGGAAGACAGCAGGAGGGTAATTCTTTTTCCCTACTTCGTAGAATCTCAATCATGTCTGTGATTTTGATCATGATGGAAGACCAGATTTGCCTGCATCCTATTCCCTTTTACAACAGATGCGAAGCAGAAGGTGCATTCTGAGGCCTTTCCACTTTGGGCCAATTGAGGAACAAACCCCAAGTCCCCTCAGTAGTTAATTCTCTACGTAACCTCTACCCTGCTGATTTTTCTACCTCCACAAAGAGACGGGAGATGACCGGGTATCTTGACTGGAATGGGTCACACTCAGGGAGAGGCACAAAGACAGTGTAGCAAGAGAGGACAGGAACTCAAGACATAAGGAGGCGGAGCAATCAGTGGGGCTGTCATTCTGCAGACTCCAAGGCTTCTCACACAGCAGAAGAGAGCTGAGAGCCACAGGAAACACACAGGGAGAAGGAAGACGGAGGGCTCGGCTGTGTGAACTGTTTCCTGTGATTTGTCTAAGGGTCACGTACACAGCACCGGGCTTGAAGCCCAGACTGTCTTCCTCCAGTATGGAGTGTGAAGCATAAATTAGCCAGCTCACCAGCCACAGTTCCTCAATCCTGCTATATATTTTTACAAAAGATTTATTTGTGTGTGTGTGTGTGGGGGGGTTCACCCATGCCACACTCTGTGCGGCAGAGGACAGCTTCCAGGAGCTGGCTCTCTCCTCCTGCTATGGAGGTCCTAGAGATGAAACTCGATCACAGACTTGGCAACAAGCACCTTTACCTGCTGGCCCTCACGTCCCCAAAGTTTGTTTTTGAGTTCCATTTGAATGAGATTGCTAGAGTAGCCCTTTAGGATACAAGTTGAGCTCCCACCGCAACTGAGACTGGGTTCCATCTCCAGGTGGGAGCACACCAGCTAAGGTGAGACCTGACCTCTCTCCCTCTGCCTCATCTCTACCCAGTCCAACAACCCGAGTGACGGAGCTGGAGGAAGCCATTTTTCTCTCTAAGGCAACCGATTCTCTTTGGACATATTTACACAAAAGCACCTCTCAGAATTCCAATCCACAGGCCCCATCCTCCTGTCACAGTTTACTGAATGGTCTCTTTCTACAGACTAGAGGTGATCCTATCCTGGCGACTTGTAGTCTAAAAATGATTCTGTCACCTTGCAGGAAACTTCCTCAGAAGTCCTGAGGATGTTTCTCCTGAGGGGATTATAGTCTTAAGCTTTCAAGCAAGGATGTGACCACCTCTCCTGGAAAGTACACCACCTCAGTGCAGAGCCTGAAGCTGGGTGTGTCAGGAAGCTTGTAAAAGAGCCTAGGGTGTGGCCATCATATCCGAGGGCAGAGTCCTCCATTCTGGGGCTGTTCGACGGGTAAACTGTGTGTAGTCCCAGATGAAATATTTGCGAAAGCTGCTGTTAAGAGCAACGTGCAATTTACCAAAAAAAAAAAAAAGAGCAAACTACCCTCCCTATCTGTCCTCTCTCTCCATTTCCACCCCCTCCTGAAGTCTGAGCTCCCTCAAAAGCTTAAACCCAGGCAAGCCACAGGTAGCACTGTTGGCAGCAGCAACTGCTGTCCCCAGGCTTTCTGGTGATGGAGGTGTCCCCCAAACCCAGCATTCATTCAGAGCAATCCAGTTAGGTTACAGCTCTAATGTGCTAAACTAAAACTGTGGGCTTTTCTCTGTATTCCTGCAGTTGTGATTACATATGGCTTGTGAGGTGGCAATACGCTATTGATAGAAACCACACAGGTGTGAACTCGTGGCTGACAGAGCCTGGAAGCAGTTAAGTGCTTGGAGATAGATCGCTGTGGTGAGAAGCTTAGCTACAGATCTGATTTACACCTAGTGATCAGCGTGTCTGTCTTCCTGGCACTGATTTTAAAGAGAGTTCTGCATTCTGTGTTGGAATGCACACTGACTATCATCTTTTGAATTCCATGAGCTGTGTCACAAGCTAGACCGCACTAGGTCATGTACAATGAATGTGTACCCGAGGAGAAAAAAATGTCCAGCACTACCGAATATACTGCAAAATTGCCACAATGACTGCTTAGAAATACTAATTTTCCTCTCTTCTTCCTGAAAGTATATCTTACAACTCTTTTGTAACTTAATGCAAACAAAGTAAATTCATTTCTTCTCACATCTGAAAGCAAAGATATCTTTGTTTACATGCGAGAATAATAAGCCTATAATAACAGTCTGGCCCTATGAGCCAGTTCTTTATATCAGGACATAAGGATGAAATGATAGAGAAAGAACCAGAGAGACCTGTGCACCGCTATGAATGCAAAATCCATCTGGAAGCTTTCTCTTGTAAAGGACAGCTAAGATAGGGAGTGAGACTAAAGAAAAGACTCACAAGACTGGGCTTCCATTCACTAGAAGAATAACAACAAAAACAAAGCCATTCTATTGCAAGATACAGATCAAAGGTTAGAAGGCAAATGACCCTACATTTGTATAAAGATGTGACCGCTTCCAACCCTGCAGGTGGCACCGTGCAAGGGAGCTCGGACGCTATTTGCAATGGCCATAGAAAAAACATCGTGAAGAAAAAGCCACCGATGAAAAATGACTGAAGAACCCGTTTCCCTTTTTCAGCCTAATCATTTGGTATCTCTGAACGTGGTCCAGATTTAGACTTCCACCCCATCAAAGAACATCAGGCTGTCTACAGTTCGACAGTACCTCTCAGTAGGGCGTTGCTGCAAGGCTAGCTAATTTTAAATCTGGTATGAGTAATAGAGTCAAACCTAGTTAGTATGCGGGAAAGTCGTTGCTAACGCGGGGTGAGAGGATGTGACGTCACAGCACGAACAGTCCCTGGTTGTCCCGTTGTCAGATAAATGCAGTGCATAGATCCAAGTTTCTGTCCCAGGCCTCTGGACCCCAGGGTCAGGTCTCTCACTTCTGCTGGGTGGCCTGGAAGGCCTTCAGCTCTAGCTGGTACCACTCAGGGGCTTCGGGCCCGCTCTTCCCTGGGGGGCTGTGGTCATAGCCGTAGGCAACGGTCAGCTCTTCCTCAGCCTCCACAGCTTGCAGGGTGCGGATGCACTTGATAGGCCCAAAACGGGGGTGGACAAACCTAAACATCAAGACGGGAAGGGTCATTACTGTGCCAATGCAGGCCCTCGGCGGCAAAGGGAACGTCTCACCCACATTCACCCCTCTGTTCTCAGAGTATGGCTACAGCTCTACTGGCTTCAGCAGGGGCTTGTAAGAGGAGTGCCCCAGCCCCAGCCCCAGATCTGCTAGGCTAGGACACTCCAGGCTGGAGATGCAGCTCAGTCGGTAGAGTGTTGACCTAGCATGCATGGGGTCCGGGGCTCTCTCAATATTTCATAAACTAGTCCTGGCACTTAGGAGGTGGGCCAGGAGAATCAAAAATACCGGTTATCCTTGATTTCATAATGAGTTTGAAGCCAACCTGGTGTCTGTAATATCCTGTCCTAGAATACCCCAAACCATACATTGGCCTTGTCATATTTTATTTTATTTTGCTGTATTCATGTTGGGGTAGTCAGAAGACAACTTGCAGAAGTTGTCGTCTCCTTCCACTGTGTGGGTCCTGGGGATCAAACTCAGGTCTTCAGACTTGGTGACAAGTGCCTTCACCCGTCGAGCCATGTTGCTAGACACTGCCCGCATTTAGAGCCCCACGGCGAACGTAGGACAGAGGACACATCGCATGGGAAGGAGCCAGCTTTCAGTAAGATTGGTCCCTGTGGGCTGATGGGGGTGAGCATTTGGCTGTCTCCTCCGTCTGTGGAGGTAAGTGTCCTGACCATGCACTCAGGAATTCTTTGTTACTGTGGCTTTTGGCTGATGATATAGCTAGTGGTAGAGTACTTGCCTGCCATGCAGAAAGCCCTGGCTTTGATAGCCAGCACCACAAGATCACAAGTCTGTATGCATGCATGTATGTACTTATACATGCATGTAGGTGTCTGTCTGTCTGTCTGTGTATCTATCTATAAACAGGTACAGCAGTTTGAATGAAAATGACTCCCGTAGGCTCACAGGGACTGGCAGTACTAGGAGGCGTGGCCTTGCTGGGGAAAGTGCATCAGCGGGGTTTCAGAACCCAAGCCAGGCCCAGCGTCACTCTCCCTTTCTGCTACCTGTGATGCGAATGTAGGCCTCTCAGCTCCTCTCCAGCACCATGTCTGCCTGCATGCTGCCATGCTTTCTGCCATGACGGCAATGGACTGAACCTCTGATCGGTAAGCCAGCCCCAATTAAATGCTTTCCTCTGTAAGAGTTGCCGTGGTCATGGTGTCTCTTCACAGCAACAGAAACCCTAACTAAGACAGAAATGTATTAGCCGGGCGTTGGTGGTGCACACCTTTAATCCCAGCACTCGGGAGGCAGAGGCAGGCGGATCTCAGTGAGTTCGAGACCAGCCTGGTCTACAGAGTGAGTTCCAGGACAGCCTCCAAAGCCACAGAGAAACCCTGTCTTGAAACAAAAACAAACAAACAAACAAACCACAGAAATGTATTACTGTGTAGCTCTGGCTTGCCGGGAACTCACTAGGTAGACCAGGCTAGCTTTGAACATAGGCTCACCTGCCTCTGCCTCCTGAGTGCTAAGATTAAAGACCTGAGCCACCATGCCAGGGAATTTTGTCTTTAAGTCAACATGCTTCATTATAATTTGTATCATGTGATTTCAGTATGAAAATTAAATAATGCTCCTGAAATGGAGCTTTGATTACCTTTCTAGAAGATCCCCTGGGGTGGGGGAGGGGAATCTGATGTTGAAATTTGGGGCTTAAGACTTCTTTTCCAATGTTCTTGTAGCTTTATTCTCATGTTCATTGTCACTGTCATCTTTTCATTTTGATGTGTTTTTTTGTTGTTTATTTTTAAATTTAATTTAACTTTTTGTTTTTGCAAGGCAGGGTTTCTCTGTGTAGACCAGGTTGGCCTCAAACTCAAGATCCGCCTGCCTCTGCCTCCCAGCGCACTGCACTGGGCCAGTCTCCTTCCAGAGCTGAGGCCTGACTGACTGAGTTCCTGGGAGGACTGACTGAGACGAAACATGGAAGGCATCCAGAGTATGAGTTTAGCATGTGTGAGGTTCTGGGTTCGACCTCTAACCCTTGTGGAAGGAAGACGAGAAGGAAGGAATGGGGGGGGGTAGGCAGAGCAGGACCCAGAATGAATGCTCAGAGGCCATGGCTGTAGAAGTAGCAATGACCCCAAACCCGTGGGAGCTTAGTTGACATGCTACCGTATTTACAGTAGGGTACTTGTGTGATTGTCCACGGGGCATTTCCTGCCTGACTTCAGTGAAAGCAGCACAGGGAAGTGCTGTTTCACTTACATTAATGCACACATCAATGCCAGTGACTTGAGGAAACACACAAGTGAATTGGAACCGGAAGTACACATTTGGTTATTATTCAAGGAGTCATTACCCCATATAACTCAGTTTTGGCCATGCTGGGCTTGCAAAAGAAATACTAACAACAAAAGAAAGAAAGCAGCCAGGAAGGGGAGGCATTTGCCTTTAATCCCAGCACCCAAGAGGCAGGATCTATGAGTTCGAGGCTAGCATGGCCTATAAAGTGAGTTCGAGGACAGCCAGGGCTACACAGAGAAACCCTGTCTCGAACCCCCCCCCCCAAACAAACGAACAAGCAGGCAAACAAAAAACAAACAAACCGCCCCCCCCACCAAAGAAAACAAACCGAAAAGCCAAACATAAAGCCTGCCGAGCAGAAAGTGATTTTGTACAACAAAAACTTCTCTTGTTTCCAGTTCTCTATTGCATTTGGGAGATAGGCTTGATTCAAATGAAGGGTCCTGAGCTAGCCAGCGGCATTTAGGATGGTTAGTCACAGGCTTTAAGAGGCCATTGTTAGGCCAGCACAGCTGAGAATGAGCCAAATGCACCCTCGCTGTGAAAGCCCCCGCAGCCAATAACGGTGTTTCATCTCACACGACTCACGTCCTTTGCCACTGCAGTCAGCCCTTTAGAAGCAGCTGGAGCACCAATACTTATTATCGGCTGCCAAGGGGAGCTAGTCACTGCCAGGACCGTTCCCACGGCTTCTCAAGGACGAGTCTCAGGACATTTCCCAGCAAAGCTCCAGACCCTGGCAAGGTCTCAGAAGAAATGCCCAGAGTGTGATCTTGTACAGCAGAGGGCTGAAGCTACGGCACCAAGCAGGGAGAGATGCCCTACGGCCACGCTACATCATGTCTATTATGTGTGTGCACGTGTGTGTGCAGGCATGTCTGCACCCGTGTGCACGTGTGCGTGCGTGTGTGTGCGCGTGCAGGGTAAGGACAACTTCAGGTGTGGTCCTCAAACAGCATCCACCTTGTTTTGGGGACCGGGTCTCTCACTGGCCTGGACTTCCTGATTAGGCTGGCCGGCCAGGGGCACAGGGAATCCTTGGGCTTCTGTCTCCTTAGTGCTCAGATTCTAAGTGCCCTTCCCCACACTCAGCTCTTTATATAGGTGCTGGGTAGGGGCTGAACTCAGGTCTTCATGCTGGTGCAGCAAACACTTGGATGATAACCCCTCCTTCCCACCCCGGTCCTGCCATGCCATCTTTAAATGAGAAAAAAAAATCTAAGGGCAAATAAGGACAGCAAGAAAGCATATTTCTTTGATCGTTCTACTTTTGAAATCAACTTTTCATCTCACGACTAGAAAGCAGGCTGTTTAGATCTTGAACCTTAGATGACAAGGCCGAGGCTCACGGCAGACAGCCCACTTTTCCCATGCCCTCCTGGGTCCTGGGGCCCCTAGGCATAGATCCACGCAATCACTAGCATCCCACTTACATGTCATAGATGCAGTTTGGAGTGAAGGAGTGATTCGCCTTGTGTCCCAAGGAGGCACAGTACTTGGATACGTGGTTGTAGGGCTCAGGCACATCAATGACTGTCTCCTCATCAAGGGAGAGAGTGTTCCCATTCAGGGCCCAATCTCTGCTGTCCACCTGCAGGACATAGAGACGGAAGTGATGCTAGAGAGGGCTTTTCTCACAGAGGCTCAGAGCACAGCAGAGGCACTAACTCACTCATCTTAGCACTTCAGAGTTTGAGCACTGCAGACATGAGAGCCAGCCAAGACATCTTCCCACACAAGGAGGGCGCAACCAGACAGCTCAACTTACTGCTTATTGTGCTTCCCTCGCTTTATATAGAAGAAAGGGATTTCGATTCCTTACAAAGACATACAAAAATATCAGATAAACTTGAACTAAAAATAAGTGAGGACGAGGCTGTGGAGGTGGCTCAGTGCGTCCAGGCGTTAACGACCAAGACTGCCTGCCTGACTGTTCGGTCCACAGAACCCACATGGTCAGAGGAGAGAACAGACGCCTGGGAGTTGTCCTCAGACCTGCACTCTTGATTCTCCATATAAGTAAATGTTTTGTTGTTGTTTTATTCCCTGAGACAGGGTTTCTCTGTGTGGTCCTGGCTGTCCTGGAACTCACTCCATAGACCAGGCTAGCCTTAAACTTGGAGATCTACCTGCCTCTGCCTCCTGAGTGTTGGGACTAAAGGCATGCGCCACCACTGCCTAGCCGTCTATGTATTTAAAAGATTTTCTACAAAGAGGCCCACACCTCTGCTTCAGTGGAGGAATCAGGGTGAGCAGGAGGCAGCCTCCAAGTCCTGGCACAGCCTTGGCTTCTTCAGGCTGGACACTGGGAGGTCAGCAGAATAGCCCAATGGCTCTTATGAAAAGGATCATGTTTTTGTAGAACTTGTAAACCTAGCAGGCATGCTCAGTCTTCTGACACAATCGTAGATGACACAACTGTCATCTACGATTCATGTTTGTGAGCCAAACAATCGAGTTTAAAAGTAAAACAAAACCATCTCTCTTAAGTTTTCAGTAAGCTTACAACTTTGTGTTAGGCTATCTCTGCAGTTATCCTTGGCCCCAGGTAGCCTGCGGCTCACAGGACGGACACTTCTAGATAAACCCACCCTTCCTCCTCTCCATTGCATTCATGTGTGACAGTCAATAAACTGGGTAGCTGTCACAGGAAGCAGTATCAAGCACGAGGAAGGTCCCCTTAGGTCTCGTTATTCCCAAACCGTCATGGAACCACGTAACTCTGAGAGGCTGTCTGGGGTATCGTCTGCTTGAAGCTGTATTAGTTGTGTAGTGGAGTCTAAACGTCCCCGTGGGCCAGGGGCATGTAAATCACCACAGCAGCAGACGCTAGCCTTACTTCAGCTGTGCCTCTCACTGCATTTGTGATCCTGGGCAAATTGTTTAATCTCTCTAGGCTTCCATTTTTCTCATCTGCAAAATGCGTGAATGAAAAAGCATGGTTTAATATTTGCAAGTCCAGAGTGCTTCCAGATTCAAAACTTTTTGAGGCTGAGATGCAATTGGAAGAAGGCACACCTGGCCTCACATGACAGGTCACAGGCAAAGTGCAGGCACAATAAAAATATAGACTAACTGCCTCCCAGCTACGTGCACAGGAAACACTAAATTTCATTTTGTCTACGGTCCCATTCCTAAGATGATTGTAAAATTGCAAATATCTAAAAACACTAGATTCCTAACATTTTGGTCCCAAGCATTTCAGATAAGGGTGCTCCACTTGGAATACATCCCCATCCCAAAGCCACCCTTCTCTGCTGAGCGTCTTGGGCCTTCTGGAAGGCTGGTGAAGTACGGCCACCTGTGTGGATACCATCTGCTCCGCCTGAGCATTTTGTTGTCTCTCCTCTGCCCAGTTGCTTTGAATGTGTGACTAATTGGGACATTTCGCGGAACGTTCTCTTGTTATCCATAGGAATAAGTGACAACGTGGAGACCTGATGTGAGATGTCAGCCATGAGCCTGAGCCCTGTGCAAGTATTAGAAGTGTGACTACGATCGTGCTGGAGGCTGCAGACTTGCCCCTAGACAGACACCAAGCAGTCAGCCACAGATGTGCAAACTTAACCAGAGCCATCCGTGAAGCTCTCAAACATGCCAAAGACTGTGTCTTAAAGGCAAGAGGTGGTGGAGGGGTCACAAATACATTTGGGGAGGCCAGAGAGCAACCTCAGTGTCCTTCTGCAGGGATCCTCCATGCTTGTTTCTGTCTCTGGTCAAACCCTTTAATCAAGTAGGCTGCCGCTCGCCTCTCTCCACTTACCTCTTGGTGTGTAATTCGGACTCCATTATAAAAAGACATAACAGTATTGGGTCCCACTGCTACCTTGGAAAACAGTCCTTCTCCAGCACTGGAGATGAGAGAGTCGGCAACATAAACCCTAAAGGAAATAAATAAATAAAATGTGAGTTTTCCAGTGTCACTCTTGATGCCAATCACTAAAATTCCATCATGGTTACTAAATCCCAAATGACAGTTCCCAATTATTCAACAAAGAAGGGAGGGGGAGGGGGAGAAATTAAACCACAGTATGATGGCAACAGCAATGGAAGAAATAACTTTTATGTCTTTAAGAGCCGTATTCAAAACGATCTCTACCACCTCCTTTAGACCAGGTATCTGGCCCAGGGTATCTGTCTCAGACTTGCTCAATAAGGAACGTGGTCATCAGTTTTTGATTTTTTGTTTTTTGTTTTTTTTGAGACAGGGTTTCTCTGTGTAACCCTGATTGTTCTGGAACTCTCTCTACATAGAACAGGTGGGCCTCAAACTCACAGCATCTGCCTCTTGCCTCTGTCTCCCGAGGGCTGGGCTTCAAGGTGTGAGCCAATGGGCCTGGTGACAACTAGGGACTTTTCCACCAGTTTTACGTGGTGCTGGAGATCAAACTCAGGACTTTGTGAATGCTAAGCATGCATGTTATCAACTGAGCTCCATCCCCAGGCCTCAAATGCCTTCTCCAGGGCTGAAGAGATGGCTGCTCTTCCAGAGGATTCGGGTTCGATTCCCAGCACCTACATGGCATCTCACATCCACCTGCAACTTCAGTTCCAGGGATCTTACAGCTGTCTGTCCTGGGGGCATTTCCTCAACTGAGGCTCCTTCCTCTCTGAGGACTCCAGTCTGTGTCAGTGCTTGATGTTCCGTTTTGAAAAAGAAGCTAATGTTTATAGTTAATGACAAGAAAACATTTCCCAAAGTTCACTAACACTGTGCCCAAATTTCTCAGACGACAGAGGAAGACTATTGTTTAGTTAAGTGCCAAGATGTTTATACAAAAAGTGACAATGAGATATATCCAACAAGCATTTCTCAACAACAACAACAACAAAAAGTAGTCAGCTAACCACAGGTCAAATCTGACTGCTGCCCATTTTCGCTGATAAAGTTTTATTGAAGCACAGCTGCCTCCCCCAGTTTGTTTAAGACTGCGTCAAAGGCAGAGGCTGAGTCTGTGCAATAGATAACACAGGGTCTGTAAGCTTCCAAGTTGTTGCTTGGTGTTCTTCCACAGAAAAAGGTTCCTAAACATTGCTTTATAACAGAAGCATCCTGCCGGGTGGTGGTGGTGGCACAGGCCTTTAATCCTAGTACTCAGCAGGCAGAGGCAGGTGGATTGCTGTGAGTTTGAGCCCAGCCTGGTCAACAGAGTGAGTTCCAGTACAGGCCCCAAAGCTACATGGAGAAACCCTGTCTTGAGCTACCTCCCCCCCACAAAAAAAAGAAAAGAAAGAAAAGCATCCATGGTTATGGGGTGGAGGTAATACAAGCTTAGGTTCCACCAACAACTCTTTCGTCTCTCCGTGCGCTGTGGTGGCCCTGCTGGAGGTGGGCATCTGTAATCCTGGCTCATTTTATAGACTGGAAATCTAAATTCTTGCTTTTGACTCTGCTCCTCTCTAGTGACAGAATGATATGTGTTCCCCCTCTGCCAGGTGACCTCATGACACCTCCTTCTGCGCAGGTGGGGCACCCCCCCCCCTGACTTTGCATGGAAGAGGGCTCTGCTGCAGAGTCTTAGGTGTTAAGAAACATGGTGTGCCGGGCGTTGGTGGCACATGCCTTTAATCCCAGCACTCGGGAGGCAGAGGCAGGCGGATCTCTGTGAGTTCAAGGCCAGCCTGGTCTACAGAGCAAGTTCCAGGACAGCCTCCAAAGCAATACAGAGAAACCCTGTCTCGAAAAACCAAAAAAAAAAAAAATGGTGAATTTTTGCCAGTCTCCGCCAGTTTCTCTTGTCTCCAGGAGAAGAATCTGTCTTGGGGGCTGTTGTTCCTTTAGCCAGAGTCTTGGAATGAAGAGATGTGAAATAGACCCGAACCCAACCTGCATCCTGGGGCCCAGCCTAGTCTGGCTGAGCATGGTAAATGGCTGAACCTAAGCCTACCCACAGAACCGTGGTATAACACAAAACACCGATCTCTGTAAACACTACGAGCTTAGCGAGGACTGCCATGCAGGATTTCACAGCAGACTGGAATGAGAGATGCAGTTCGCCCTGTGGTGTTCTGGAGTGAATACAGAAGCCAGTCTACACCCACTGGCCCTGGGCCAGAGCCTCTCGGTAAAAATGAGGACATTCTCTCCCTGCCTGGGGCACTGTGGGATCATTCAGACCAGGAAGAGGCTTGTTTCTCAGATGGGAGCAGAAAGTAAACAAGAGGTAAGCCACGCCCCTTGGGGGGCTGTCCTTACTCAGCCGACCAGCAGAAGGAGAATAAGGAGAGTTCCAGGCACTTAGAATCCCTGCTAAAAGGCAGTCCGCCTCACAGGTCAGGTATGGAAAGGCCAGACCTGACACGGAGGGATGCTATTACGCTCACCATTACTGCCTTTGCTCATATCCTGTCTTCCCTTATGAATAAAGAAGTTGCTTTGTGTTCCAAGGGTCAGGCTACGGAGACAAGGAGTTGTGCTGGAGGGTTAGGCTAGACCTGAAAGAGCATGGATTGCTCCCCCAGAAGAAGCAACATCAAGAACCCTGAGAGGGCCTGGGAGATTGAACAGCGGGCAAAAGCTCCTGCTTGCAAGGTGGAGCCTTTCCCACACGGTAGGAGGAAAAAAACTGATTTACAAGTTGTTCTCTGATTTCTGCACGCATGCTTCCCCAACCTCCCAGAGTCCTGAGAAAGGGTGTGACTGTCTGACCCAAAGCTTTACCTAGAGAGGTCATTCTAGGACGAGGCGCAAACCTGCTCGATAATGTAGAAACCTTCTGTGGATGGCCTCTATATGAGAATATCATTCGTCTTCCTCAGAATATACAAGTACTTCCTTGGAAGCGTGCCAAGGAAAAGTATTCATTATGGAGGGGCTTGGCTTGAGCAGGAGCCCAGGCCGAGCAGAGAGCCGGAGAAGCTCAACGGTGTCACCTCCAGGGCATAAACAGTGCATTGAACGCCACAAGGAAAGAGTTACCTCTCGGACTCGTAAGGGTCTGGAAGGAGAGCATCGCTAGAGATGCAGGAGGAGGTCGACTTATCAAAGTGGTACACGGAACCTAGAAGGCAAACCAACATGTCAGTTAGGTGCAGGCGTGGCTCCCCAGCCGCAGGGTCAACCAATCACAGGGGCCATTCCGGCTATGCCAGGGCGTGGCTCCCCAGTCACAGGATCAACCAATCACAGGGGCCATTCTGGTTATGCCAGGGCGTGGCTCCCCAGTCACAGGATCAACCCAACAATCACAGGGACCATTCTGGTTATGCCAGCTAGAAGAGCTAAGGGGGCATTTGCCGGGTTTACTCTTTTATTATGCTTTCAAATCTTGCCCTTTTTTCTTTTTCCTTAGTGAGATAGGGTCTTCCCAAGTTGCCCAAGTGGCTTCTGGGTTGGGATTGCAGGCCCATATTTACCAGGATTCGTTTATTTAAGTCTTAACGTGCCACCACCAGATTTAACTTTGAAGATTCCTATTTGTTGATTTTCCTTTATTCAAATGTCTTTAATATTCTTGTGTACTTAAAACTTTAAGCAAAACACGTTGTCACAGAATTTTCAGATTTCTCTGGTCAGAGTAATCTGGAGGTTAGTTTTTAAATTTCTTTGAGGTTTTCTTCATACTGTACAGTGTAAAATGTGCAGCCGAGCCTAGCAAGTGACTCCTGTGGTGAGAGTAATCTCAGCCTCACAGAAGTATGGAGAACAATGTTGCTCCCCATGCTCCCCATGCTAGAAGTCATTGGTGGCTCAGAACCGGATCGAATCAGTCCCCAAGACAAGGTATGCAGCTGTCCTAGAATTACTCTGGGCTTTCTGTTGACCTTGGCAAATCCTCACAGGGCACCAGGGATGCAGGATTCTCTGAGTGTTCATAAACAAACAAGATTTGGAGCCAGAGAGTGAACTCCTGCAAAGCCAATCCTGTTTAGCACCGACATCACTAAGCATCCCATCAATCGGTTCTTCTGTAGTTACCATGGTGACCAGACCCCTTTCCTGTTACTCAAAATATAATGCGAACCTAAACGAATGCCTCAAACCTAAGTTAGAAAATGGTCCAGACCAGTCTGGGAAACAGACCACTTGAGTATTTCAGGAGGGAGTTCAGCTGAGGGACTTGGTTATACAGAAGAGCCTTGAAGCCAAACAGAGAGCCAGGAGGAATCTAGAAGTGGACAAGAGCAGGAAGCTTCCTACCCACTAAGCTGGGCATGGGAGAGGAGGGTGGGGTGTGTTCCTCCAAGGCCCCATAATGCACCTGCGGCCAGCAGCCTCTCTAGGGCTTAAACAAACTCAGAAGTCAGCTATGGGAGCCAGGGAAAAGGAGCAGCTGCCTGCAGTAGAAGCGGGCAGAGGAAGACAAGGGATCCTGTGATGGCTATTCTTGGGTGTCAACTTGACTACATTTGGAATTAACTAGGACCCAAGTGGCTGGGTGCACCTGTGACAGAGTTTTTTCTTCCTTTTCTTTTTGTTTTTGGAGACAGGATTTCTCTGTATGTATGTAGCCTTGGCTGTCCTAGAACACATTCTGTAGACCAGGCTGGCCTTGAATTCACAGAGATCCACCTGCCTCTGCCTCCTAAATGCTGGGATTGGAGGCGTGCGCCATCACCACCTGGTTGAGGGACTTTTTTCCCCGATTAAATCATTTGTAGTGGGAAGATCCCCCTTTAATCTGGACCACACCTTCTGAAAGATAACGTGACCCAGACCACAACAAGTAAATGCTGGAATGGAGAATCAAGTCAGGTGACTCAACATTCTGGTTCTTACCACCAAAAATACTGCCTCTTAGGAAGTTTTAAATTTGCATCATGGTTAGAACTATAGCTCCATTTAAGAACAGTTAACTGCCAAAGTCTGATCTCTAGAACTCCAAAAGTAAATGAATAAGGGAAAAATGGCATCACTTGATCCCATTTAAAACACTGTAATGGAACCTAGTGTGATGGGTCTGATCCCAGCACTTGGGGGGCAGAGGCAGGTGGATCTCGGAGTTTGAGGCCAGCTGGCTTACAGTGGAAGTTCCAGGATTATCAGGGCTACCCAAAGAAACCCTGTTTCAAAAAACAAAACAAAACAAAAAATAAAACTATTTGTAATGGGCTAGATAATGGCTAGGTGGTTAAGAGTTCTGCTAGAAGACCTGGCACCCATTTCTATTCCCAGCATCCAACTGGCAGCTCCTATCTATATGTAACTCCAGTTTTGGGGGTCCAACGCCCTGTTCTGGCCTCTGTGGGCACCAGGTATCTTAGACAGCCGTTCATCTCTGAATTTTCCACCATTTACTTGCTGGAGAGGCACAGTGAAGCAGAAGGGGTTTCTTTCCTCCCTCCCTCCCTTTTTGTTTTGTTTTTAAGACAGCGTTTCTCTATGTAGCTTTGGAGCCTCTTCTGGCACTCGCTCTGTAGACCAGGCTGGCCTCGAACTCCCAGATCCGCCTGCCTCTGCCTCCCCAGTGCTGGGATTAAAGGCATGCGCTAAAGGCTTTTTAAAAAAAGAACTTCATTTTAGGATAAAATGAATTAATTTATGCATGTAGTATGTGTGTCTGTGTGTTGGTATGAATGCCAGCGATATTGTGTGTGAAGATGACCTCTAGGGTTTTGTCCTCAGGTTCTGTTCACTTTGGTTATTTTATTTTTTTGAGACAGGGTTTCTCTCTGTGTAGCCCTGGCTGTAGATCAGGCTGGCCTCAAACTCAGAGATCTGCCTGCCTCTGCTTCCTGAGTGCTGGGATTAAAGGTGTGCATTACTACAGCTCAATCACCTTGTTTTTTGAGACAGCGTCTCTCAGCCCGGACCTGGCCACCAGGCTCTAGGGATCTCCAGTGCCAAGTACATAGGTTCTAGAGACTGAACCCTGGTCTTTAAGCTTAGATGGTGAGCATTTTGTCGACTGAACTTGTTATGCCACGTTCGTGAGACCCCAAAAGAGACCACCAAGGAGCCGACGCTGATGCGAAGCATAAGGTTTAATGTTACACGCCTCGGTGGGGACCCTGTCCAGCAAACTGGCACAGCATCTGCAGGAAAAGGGTGCATGAGCTCAATTGTAAGGGGTTTTTAAAGGAAAAAACGGCCAGCAGGGTGGTACGTGTCTTGGCTGTTCAGGATTGGGTAAGAGTGGGTGACCTTTGGATTCACTGACTGGGGTCTAGGGGAATTTCAAAATTGTTACTAACAGTTGCCCACAAGAACAGTTGTGGCGAGATGTTAGTTACCAAAATTAGTCATTGCCTGACCACCCGGATGGGGTCACTCTGTCCAGGGCCGGGCACAGTTTGGGTGTTCCTTGGAACTGTTTATGGTTCCTAGGCTGGAGCTGAATCAGCCTTGTGCCATGCAGGGAATTTCTCAGGGTGACTTTTTCTGAGGATGGAGTTAACTCCATCCTCCCCAGTTTACCTTGCTCTTACAAACTTATCTCCCTAGGCCCTGGAATAACAGTAAATACACAGAAAAATACGAAGAATGAAATAGTGTTCCTACTGTTTCTCCTAAAGCTAACCTTTAAAAGGGGTTTTACATTTACTGTGTGTGTGTTTATGCATATGCGCGTTCATGCACATGCATGCATGCTCTGTGTGTTTGTGTGTGTGTGATGCATGTGTGAGGTCAGAGGACAGCTTTCGGGAGTTGACACTCCTCATTCACTACGTAGGTCCCTGAGATTGGACTCAGGTTACCAGCCTTTGAAGCAAGCTCCCACAGCCGCAGAGCTATCTCCGGCTTAATCAGCCATATAGTTTACACAGATTTTGAAGTCTGTCTCGTTTGATTCTTTAGTCGCATAAAAATGACGGCCCCATGTTTTAGAGATACAGGCATTTGAAACTGGCTGCATTGCCTGTCATTTCTTAGTCCTGTACCTTCTTAGAGTCACCTATGGATGGATGCCTTCTCATGGGACGTCTTAGCATATGTCACTGATGTACATGCTACACTTGCTCTGCCTCACTCATGCTGGGCTTTGTCGTGTGACTTGCAACACAAATGGAGGAAAGTTCCAGGGTAAGGCTTTAGGAGGCACCATTGGTATCTGTTTATATGCTGACACATCTGTGGTTCACTTGTGAAAACATTGCCCAAAGTAACCTCTGTGCCTTCAGACTGGGCCCCAGCATAAGATATAGACCAGCCTAGACTGGCTGAACCTCAAGACACAGCAGACCTATGGTTGCCATAAACAGGGAAGGGCTAAGGGGGGTCTGTTTTTTTTTTTTTTGGCAAAAGCTGGTTGACACTCCATTAAAATGGGCTCCACAGAGGAAAAAAAAGAAACCTATTTGTAGGGCGATGGTGGCACATGCCTTTAACCCCAGCACTAAGGAAGTACAGGCAGGCAGTTCTTTGTGAGATCAAGGCTAGCCTGGTCTACATAGTGAGTTCCAGGATAACTGGGCTACACAGAGAAACACTATCTGAAAAACACCCTCTCTCCCCCCAAAAAGGAAGAAACCTCTTCAACCTGTCACCCACTGGACGACTTACTTCCAGACGTCAGTTCAAAGTGTGGCCTCCCTTCTTCAGCGGCCACAAGGGTGGCCAGCTTCCCTTCAATCATCTCTCCATCAATAAACTTTCCGTAGAGCGCAGTCCTCTGATCAGGGTAGACATAGGCTATCTTCTCTCCAGTCATCTCCCCATCTTCATTGACTTCCCCGACGAGGCTGCCTCCATCCTGGTGGGAGAAACCACAGCAGACATATTCTGTAAAGCGTTCACCTGTAAGGTGTGAGTTCAAGAAGTTTGTTCTCTGCAATGCCCACTGTGAAGATCAGACAACAACGGTGTAAGAATCCAGAGCTTTTGAGAAGAGTGAGAGCTTTTCATGCCTCTGCAGGTAGTTCCTTTGCCACATGTGAATACACTTCTGGAATGTTCTATGCACCGGGACAAGCATGCCTCATTTATATTAGGAGACTGAAGTGTACTTTGTAATTCTGGACTAGTTCCTGGCACTCTAGCTTGGTATGTGATCTAAGAAACAAACACATTACTGTTGGAACAGACTTGCAAACATTTAAGGGAAATGTAACTAAGCACACACCTGTACTATATTAAGGGAAATATATTACAGTCTAACTATACTACAAATATATTACAGCACACACCCTGCATTCTTAGCACTGTGGAGGCAGAGGTAGGCGGATCTCCAATTTCTGTGAGTCTGAGGCCAGCCTGATCTATCCAGGACATCCAGGACTACATAAAGAGACAAATAAACAAACATAAGACAAACCCAGAGCCCAGGACCTTGTAGGATTGTACATGCAAAACACTCTACCTCTGAGCTAAGTCTTTAGGCCTTTAAGCGTGCTTGAGAGTTACTTTGGTCTACCCGAGTAAAAACACAATTGCTTGTATTTTCCAAGCGATAAACAAAGGCCCTTGTGTCTCCCACATCGGTTCCTTCTTTCATTCTTCATCTCCGGCTCTCCAGCCTCTCTCCCAGAGAAGGGCCAGCCCTGCTTCATTCCACAGGACAAACGCTACAGTATTCTATGTCCTGCTAAGTGCCAGGGTAACCCACAGATGCCTGATACGTTCATTTTGTGTGTATGTCCCTGTAGATGCGCATGTGTCTGCATGGGTGAGCATGTGCCATGTGTGGAGGTCAGGGGACAACTTGCAGAAGTTGGTCCTCTCCTTCCACCACGTGATCTGCCAGGCTTAGTGGCAGACACCATCACTCATGCCACCTCACAGATACGTTTTAGTTGATCTGCCATACCCACAGCATTATGGCTAATGTAATTTAGGATGCAAGAAGTCCTAACTTCATAACTTACAAATCTAAGTCCTTTGTCAGCTTGCTGAACAATTTGATACCATGGCACCTGGGATAGCTTGGTTAATGTCCTCACTCAAGCATCTGGGAACAGGTACTCGATACGGTAGTTTGGGTGACCCTCAGTGCTGCTTACTGAGACAGGAGTAAGTGACATTACAGGAGTAAGTGACATTACAGGAGTAAGTGACATTACACACTGTACACAATTTGCATAGCTCACCACAATCTAGCCACTCTTTGGTGGGGAGAAATTTTAAACTAAAATTTGGAACTTTTGAAGAAAAATACACAGCATTATCTTTCATAGGCAGAAAGCTCAGTAGGGTGACATTTGTTGCTTGTTGTCCTTCTGAAGTTAGTTCTTACTGATGCGATGTCAATGGGGACGACCTTTCCGTGCGATCTTCTTACATGCCACAGCTAACAGAAGCCACCACACTCCTGCCCATTTGAAGCAGAGGTCTGTGTTTAGGGCCTCTCACCTTTTCCCTCAAAAGTTGAATTTATTTCTTTGGACTGACAAAATAGAAATCCTTTGGTTTTCTAAAGGAGTTATGAATCTTTTAAAATACAAAAAAGTGGGGGGGCATTGGAAATTAATGAGCAAAACAGAACAATAGGGCTTAGCGGTGCTGCAGATAACGTCTCTTGGTAGAGGACTCAGCTAGCATGTGCCAGCCCTGGGCTTGAATCTCAGCACTGCACAAGCCGGGTATGGTGGTGACACTTGTAACCCCAGCACTTAGGAGGCAGAGGCAGGGTGTTCAGAGGTTCAGGGTTATCCTCAGCTACACGGAGACTCTGAGGCCAGCCTGGGCTACACAAGATGGTCTCAAAAAGCAACACATCAGCAACATTTCTGTCACAGTTCTTAGAGTGATCCTGTAAGCACGATAGGGAGAATGGCTCGGTTTCTCCTACCCTTGTTCTTGCCACGTCACAAACACGGCCCATCTGCTCTATCAGGGAGTATCGGAAAGAGGCCATTGCCTTGTTTCTTCTGCTCACTGGCTCCCCCTGTCAGAAGGAGTCATTGTGGTTGGAGAGAGGGCGGGTCAAGTGCTTGCTGACAAACTCTGCTGGGTGGGGATTAACAAGACAAAGGCTTTTGGTGGTCAGTCTCACTTGTCACTTACCCTCTGCCTGGTTCCTAGGCACTGCCCTGTCAACCCCAAGAAGGCCCAAGTCCCTCAAGAGAAACCTTCTTCTTTTCTTTCTTTTAAATGTGTGAGTGCTCGGTCTGCTGGCACACGAGAAGAGGCCATCGGATCTTATTATTGTGACCCACCATGTGGTTGCTGGGAATTGAACTCAGGACCTCTGTAAGAGCAGCTACTGCTCTTAACGGCTGAGCCATCTCTCCAGCCTGCTCACGAAAAGAAAAGCGTTAGCAGCAGAAGGGATGGGTTGCGGCTTTGGCTTCACACCAGGCCTCCAATCTAGAGTTATTACAATGAAAACCAGCAATTGAGTTCTCGGCACTAATGCCTATTTCCTTATTGACTCAGACTCCAGACAGCAGAGGGGTGCAATCAGCCCCTTCCTCTGTCATCAGATACCACACTTAAAGCAGGTGCCATTGACTATTCTGAAAGCTAGTTATTTCTCAGTGCTTCCTTCCCAAGTGCTATTTGACAAGACCACAGGGTGAAATGTTGCTACAGTAGCTGAAAGGTCGCTCATACTCAGGTGGCTGGCCCCCACCTATGAACCGCAGCAGTACCGACTGGACTCAGGACTATAAAAAAAAAAAAAGAGAAAAGAGGCCAGCACTCAGGAGGTAGAGACAGGTGGATCTCTGTGAGTTGGAGGCCAAGTCTGGTCTACAGAGTGGAATTCCAGGACAGACTCCAAAGCTAAAGAGAAACACTGTCTCGAGAAACAAAACCAGAGAGAGAGAGAGAGAGAGAGAGAGAGAAGAACATGGAGGTGCGAGCTGACATGTTGGAGATACCTGGGGGATTAGGAAGCAGAGTTGGGGGTCCATATGATGAAGACATGTTGTATACATGTGTGTGAAACTGACAAAGGACACAAAATGTGCCCTAAAAATGTCACTGTATATTTAAGTCAGTGAGATGAGCGCAGGAAATGGTCTCAGTGCACCTTGGATCTCGTGACAGGACTTCGGTTGATCCTAGTCAGAAGTGAAATGACAGGGAGTAGGAGGCTCTGGGAATCCCTGTTTCGTCTCTCTCCCATCCTCTGCCTACACAGGGCTCCGCTCGTTCTTCTGACAACTCCCTCTCTCAAATGTCAGCAGCTCCCCAGTACAGGCAGCACGGAGCTCAGCTTGGCCTCTCAGGAAGCCCCCTTTCAGCCTTCCCGACCTGTAGGTCCCTTGGTACCTGTCTGTCTGCTTGTCTGCTTCTACCTAGACAGTCACCTAAATGGTGTCAGATGGGTCGGAGCTGACCAAGAGGAGCCCTGAATGCTTGGGCAAGTCTTAGACAAAGATTAACCACATTCTTTCCTCAGAGCACAGTTTCTTTTTAAAATTCTGTGTAGCTGGGTCTACAGATGAATAACTGTGCCAAACTTTACCAACTAAAACACAACTGTGTTTTCTGGGTACAGTGGTATATGTGCCTTTAATCCTAGCACTCGGGAGGCAGGGCAGGTGGATGTCTGGGCTGGTCTGCACAGTGAGCTCCAGGACAGCCAGGAATAAAAACAAACAAGCAAACAAACAAACAAACAAAAAACCCTATTTGCACACACTGGATGTCCTGCTCTGTGTCCCTGCCTTATTCCCTTGAGGCAGGGTCTCACTGACCTTGGAGGTGTGCCAGCCTCAGATCCCCAGTAAAAGTGTTGTGAGTGCCTAAGCGACCAAGCCAGGCTTTTCACTCGGTTTCCGAGGATTTGAACTCAGGTCCTCATATTTGTAGCAAGTGCTTTTATCTGATGAGCTGTCTAAATGGTTTCTAAAGAATAATCATGTGGGGCTGGAGAGATGGCTCAGTGGTTAAGAGCACTGGCTGCTCTTCCAGAGGTCCTGAGTTTGATTCCCAGCAACCACATGGTGGCTCACAACCATGTTCAGTGAGATCTGGTGCCCTCTTCTGGCATTAAGTCGTACATGCAGATAGAGCACTCATATACATAAAATAAATGATCTTTGAAAAAGGTAACAGTATAAATGCTGTATATGTTGTTAAAAATAATAATGTGAGCTTGTGGGCTGGCTCAGGGAGGGGGGTGGGGAGGGGGGAAGGAGGGAAGGGGGAAAAGGGGTGGAACAAAGGTGATTGCTGTACAAGACTGGAGACCTGAGCTCAAGCCCCATGCAAAGGTGGGGAAAGAGAATGGATCCTGTAAAGAATCCTCAGATCACCGTCATACATATGTATGTATGACACATGCATCCCTACACATCATGCACACTCATACACAAATAATACATAAAGAAATATAACAACAACATGTACATTTGCTGGGGATTACTTTTCTTGTTTTACATGCAACAATTTGCTTTTTTGGGGACAGAGTTTTACTATGTAGCCCAGGCTGACCTCTGTAGGTCGTTGAGGCTGACCTTGAACTCCTTGCCTCCATTCACAAAGGCTGGGATTTCAGGCAAGCACCACTGTGCCTAGCCTGTTCTTACTAATTCAGAGTAAGCAAAAAGATATTTTCAGTTACGCTCTGGACACGATAAAACAGTAAACAAAGTATATCTGAAGGTTTATTCCTTTCAACATAGTTTTAAATTCATCAACAACAGATGGAGTATTTGAAATGCAAACAAAAGTTATTAATTCCCAACCATGGGGTTTGCCATATCTATTTGCTGTAGTTAACTCAAAGCCAGCACTGTCACCAAACACTTAAAGGCAAGTTAGGTTAAATCATCTTAACGAAAGCAATACAATCCATGAAGCACCTTCACAGCGAGGGGACTGAAAAAGATCCAGCTGTGGTGGTGTAGGGACTCCAGTCTCACTATAAGAGACCAGATAAAAATAAGGATTCAGTCTCACTATAAGAGACCAGATAAAAATAAGGATTCAGTCTCACTATAAGAGATCAGATAAAAATAAGGATTCAGTCTCACTATAAGAGACCAGATAAAATTAAGCAACAGCTGGGTGAGGTGGCGCACACCTTTAATATCAACACTTGGAGGCAGAGGCAGGTGGATCTCTGAGTTTGAGGCCAGCCTGGTCTACAGACTACATTTGAGGTCAGCCAGATTACACAGCCTGTCTCTCCCCCTGTATGTATTTCTTTTTGCTCTCTCTTCCCCTTCCCCCTTCTTTTTTTTTTTTTTTTTTTGACACAAGGTCTCTCTACATATTCCTGGCTGTCCCAGATCACATTATGTTCTGGGATTAAAGGCATGTCATCACACCCAGCCATCCCTCATATGTATTTCAACAATGAAATATCCCACTACTTCTACATGTCAAAGGAGTTAAAAGCAATTTATCTTTTACTTTACATTTTTGGTTGTGAGCCTAGCCTTTAACAGCTGAGTTATCCCTGTAGCCCATCTTTTACTTTATAAACGGTACAATAAAACCAGTTTGTGCCAGGGATGAGTAAGTACTCAGGAATATGCTACGAGTCAGAAGAATAGTGAATAACCATCTAAAGCCTAGTCATCTAAGCCGTGGAGGGCAACAGCAGGTAGGTGGGCCCCCGACGCTCTCATCTGCAGCCACTGATCCGTGGCTTCACAGTGAATACACTTTACTGTTCATCACGAGGGGTCACAGTGAATACACTTTACTGTTCTTCACGAGGAGTCAAAACATTGTCTCTTCAGACACGTTCCCTTCCCTCAGAGCGACAGGTGCCAGCTTACCGGGTAATGGATCCAACACACTCCATGTCGAATGTTGTCTTTGTATTGCCCCTTGAAGATCAGCCTCCCGTCGGTGTCATACTCCTGGGCTGGTCCATTCAGCTCGCCATCCACATATGTGCCTTGGAGCACACCCCCATCCTCATAGGTGTAAACACCCTGGCCCTGCAGGGCATCATCCACATAGTAACCTTCCAGAGTGCTGCCAGGCAAGGGAGAACAGAAAGAACCAGATTACACAGCAGTATCCACAGCTCGCTCTCTCTCTCTCTCTCTCTCTCTCTCTCTCTCTCTCTCTCTCTCTCTCTCTCTCTCTCTCTCTCTCTCTCTCTCTCTCTCTCTCTCTCTCTCTCTCTCTCTCTCTCTCTCTCTCTCTCTCTCTCCTCTCGCTCTCTCTCTCTCCTCTCTCTCTCTATCTCTCCTCTCTCTCTCTCTCTCTCTCTCTCTCTCTCTCTCTCTCTCTCTCTCTCTCTCTCTCTCTCTCTCTCTCTCTCTCTCTCTCTCTCTCTCTCGCATACATGTGGTGGGTAGAGGATATCTTGTGGTTTTTGGTTCTCTCTCTACTGCGTGGGGCACAGGGATCAAACTCAGGTTGTCAGGCTTGGTGGCAAGCACCTTTCCTCGCCGAGCCGACTTAAGATAAAGGACCCACGTGCCCAGCTGTGTCCACCCTTTCATGTATGCAGGACAGCATCTGGAATTCCCACAGATGGATGGCTAGGAAAAATGCAGAGAGGTGAATAACGGTTGGTGACGTCGGCTCATTGGCAGAGCATTTGCCTGGCATGCCCAAGGCCCTGGGTTTGAGGAAGCCTTAACCCATAAATCTCCCAATTCCTCAGAATCGTCTCCCTTTTTTCTTTGCTAAAGGAAAGAGAGAAAAAAGCCCCAGGTCTGGCTGAGAATAAGTCTCAGCTACCCGTGTCCCCATGACCGGGCAGATGCCCAGCTTACACCAGGCACTGGCATTTCTGCTGTTACACTCTAACAGTGAGGAACACCGTGCTTCTCTCTGGAGTTTGTGAGGCCCTCTTAGACGGCTTGTATACAGGGCTCTTCAGTCACACAACTAAGGTTTAGCTTATGCAAATGGCCATCTTACTTTCAAGTCACTAATATTTTATTCCACAGTAGCAATGATAACTGGCATCCAATCAAAAGACTCTCCTTTGACCCCTTTGGAAGACTCATGAGGACTTATTTTTGTGTTTTACAGTCATGTGTCCCTTAGTGACAGGGACAGGCTCTGAAAAATGTGTTTGTTGGATGATTTTGTCATTGTATGAACAACACAGGTATGCACACACAAATCTAGCTGCTATCGCTGGCTCCATACCGAGGTTACATGGTAATCTTGCAGGACTTTTGTGGTCCGTGCTGTTGATGACGTCATGTGTGTGACCCTCAGCTGTACACATGTGCTCATGTGACAAAAGGATCAGTCGGGAGGGGAGGGAGACTGTAGCCTCAACCCTGCTTGCCCCGTTAGTAGACTGATAAAGCCTGAGCCCCGTGGCTGGACCAGAAGAAAACTCACAGCACACTCAAGGTGACTTCACCATCCTTCTCCTATTGCTGTTTTCAGAAAACACTTTTGGAAGTTCAGAAATATGTTTTCAATATTCTTATGCTATGGAAGTAAGTGTACCACAAACACCATTTGGAATAAAGGGAAGGGCAGCTCAAACCATTTTAAGAAATGTAAATGTACGTGTTAGCCACATGACTCAGTGGGTAAAGGACACTTGCCGCCAGCCCTGAGATCTGAGTTTGATTCCCTGGACACACATCACGGAAGGAGAGAACCAGCTGAGGCAGTTGTAGCCTGACTTCCACACGCAGGCCTACACCTCCCTACACACAACACACGGACACAAAATAAACAACAAATGTAACTTAACGATTAAAAACATAAATGTTAGATACCCAGAAACAAAGATGGTTTGGTTAACACCCAGCTTTTGGTCACAGATTCAGCTAGTAAGCATTTTAAGGCATGCGTTCTATATAGTGAGGACTGTGTGGGGCTCTAGCCAGCACGGTGGACAGGATAACTACAGCCTGACAGTAACGGCCTAGCAAGCACACACTGCTCAAGAGGCCACACGGGAGAGGACACAACACTCACTCGGTAGGCAGGGCAAACGCATGCCACATGCCGTATGCGGGACACGCATACACTGTGTACTGGGTTACGTGGGACAGGCACACATTGTGTCCTGGCGTGGTGAGACAGGCACACGCTGTGTTCCTGGGCAGGTGGAGTACAAAGCGAGGCACAGGTTTGAGCAGCCTGTCCCTGACTGCCGAGTGACATCTTGTCTTATGATTGAGAATGATCTGTAATTATTAAATGAAATGCACAGCCTGAACAGTGACAGCTTCTCATTTCATTGTAATTACACTATTTGTGGTCTCCCAAGGAGATAAATAGTTCTCTTTCCCATTTGTTTGTATTATCCATGACAAATAGGCTTATTAAATTCATGAATGGGATAAAGTATACTTTAACATAGCTTTTGCATAAATAATCAAAACTGCAAATTCAGTGAAACTGAATTAATGAGATTCAACCGCCATTAGATTCACACAATTAAAAAAGAGCCCGCCCGGAGAGGGATTGCTAATCAACAGACTGGGTGACGTGTGCAGCTCAAGGAAGCGATTCAGTCATCTCTCTTCATGTCTGGGAGGGACCGTCAGGTAAGAGACAAGATACAGCCGGGTGGTGGTGGTGCAAGCCTTTAATCCTAGAACAGAGGCAGAGGCAGGGGCAGGGGCAGGGGCAGAGATCAGGGGGCAGAGGGCAGGGGCAGAGATCAGGAGCAGGGGCAGAGGGCAGGGGGCAGAGGGCAGGGGCAGAGATCAGGGGCAGGGGTAGAGGGCAGGGGGCAGAGGGCAGAGGCAGAGTTTGTGAGTTTGAGACCAGCCTGGTCTACAAAGCGAGTTCCAGGACACTCAGGGCTACACAGAGAAACCCTATCTTGAACCCCTGACAAAGAAAGATACAATATGCTCAGTGAAGTCTGATTTTTAAATAGGTTATGAACTTCAGCAGGTGCATATCCCAAATATTGAATATACGATACAAATATAAAAATATTTTGTTGTTGTCTGGAGTTTTAATTTAATGAAGTGTTCTCAGTTTTTATTTGTAGTCCTGGTGCCCCGTTTGACTTTAGAGTCCCAGCAGCATTCAGAATGTACAAGTCTGCCAGTACCTCTCAACTCATGATCAAATCTAAAAGTCACAGGTCTCTCAGACAAGTTAAAAAGAGAAAACAAACCAGCACAGACTTGCACGTTTTTGTGAGTGGACGCTCACATACACCAGGGCTGGCTCACAGAGGTAAGAGGGCAGCTTTTGGGAAGCAGTTCTTCCTTCCCCTGTCGAGCTCAGACAAGGCAAGACACTGAGTCATCTTTTTGTTTGTTTGGCTTTGGTCTTTTTCCATACAGGGTTTCTCTATATAGGCCAGGCTGTCCTGAAACTCACTCTATAGTCCAAGCTGGCCTCCAACTCACAGAGACCTGCCTGCCTCTGAGTGCTGGGACTAAGGGAGGTGGCCTCTGCACCCAGTTCCACTGAGTCATTTAGTTTGATCTCAGTCCCAACCATGGCCAATGACGCGCCATCGCCTCTTTGCCTGCAAATCCACTCCCACCTCCCTCTCAGTTCTCTTTTTAAAATTTTTTTATTTTTTTGGTTTTTCAACACAGAAAGGTTTCTATGTATTGTTTTAGAGGTTGTCTTGAACTCGCTCTGTAGACCAGGCTGGTCTCGAACTCACAGAGGTCTGCCTGCCTCTGCCTCCCGAGTGCTGGGATTAAAGGCGTGCGCCATCACCACCCGGCTTGGTTTTCCTCTTTGCATGGCTGATTTTCCACACGCAGCGCAGTGTAAGGCAGGACGGCAAGAGTGCTCTCAGCTCAGCTCACTCCCAGAGTCCTCTAAGTCACCTTTTCAGCTTCTCCCTCTGCAGTAACTTATGAGTAATACAATTGAGTGGAAGGAGGAAGGAATGGGTACCTTCATGTTAGAAAGAAAAAGTAACGTGTTTGTTGTAATAAACAAAATAAACTGAGTATCATCAAGGTACAGAGAGTATAGATTTCCACTATTCTTGTCCTAAGTATTTGACTTTTTATGCAAACATTACGCATTTCCATTCTCCCTCCCCATCCTCTTTCTTTCCCTCCTCCATCCCTTTTTTGCCACATGGTCTCCCTGCGTAGCCCAGGTTAGCCCCAAACTCAGGATCCTTCTGTTTTTTTCCTTAGTGTTGGGGTTATAAGCTTGGAATACCATGCTCAACTCTGTAATTTGTTGTTGTTTGTTTTGAGACACGGTCACATGTACTCAGGTTGGCCTTGAACTCACTATGTAGCTGAGGAGGATTGTGAACTCTTGATCCTCCTGCCTCTACCTCCTAAGTTCTGGAATTGTAGGCATAGGCCACCACTAACAGCCCTTGCTCTTTTAATTTTCTCTCTCTCTCTCTCTCTCTCTCTCTCTCTCTCTCTCTCTCTCTCTCTCTCTCTCTCTGTGTGTGTGTGTGTGTGTGTGTGTGTGTGTGCGCGTAGGCCAGAAGAGGGTGTCAGATCTGTTGGATCTGGGGTTACAGGTAGTTGTGAACCATCTAATGTGGGAGCTGTGACCTGAACTTGGGTCCTCTGGAAAAGCAGCAAGTGCTCTTAACTATGGAGCCCTCTCTCTAGGCCCGGCTTTAGATCTTAAGCTGTGCTCCCTTTTAACATTAAGCAGATGCCTCAGGATGATAGTAAGAAATAACAAAAACGGCCATTGGGTTGTTTGATTTTTCTGGCAATGGCATCTAAGCAAACAACTGGAAAACCTACGGGATATGAAAACATCAGTTTAACTGCATTTCTTTCTCTTCACATAAACAGGCCCTTTTAATTTATGAGGTGCCAAGTTTCCAAAAACAATTAAACAGGAAATATAACTCCACATTGTGGCGAGATTTAGCAGCTGCTACCCCAATCAATGCACCTACCTGTACTTCATTTAACTACTACCATATTTCATGACAGTCACCTCTCTAGTGTCTGAATACACAAGAGTAGTTAGGAAGCTTGGCTTTTCTTCATGGTTTGGGGACTGAGAAGCTTCTGTCCTTCCCACCTCATGGGCCTAACCATTGTCCCTCTTCTCTAACAGCTGTAGTTTGTGGCCTGCATGTTGCCTGGGACAGCCATGCATGTGGCCAACACCAAATCTCAAGTTTGCTTACAAGTTAAATTTGAGGGGGGGGTGATCTTTTTTTTCTTTTGGTGACTATATTATACTGTGTTTTCTAAGTCTGAACTTTTTTTTTTAAACCAGACAGGGTTTCTCTGTGTAGCTTTGGAGTCTATCGTTGCACTCGCTCTGTAGACCAGGCTGGCTTACAAACTCACAGAGATCCTCCTGCCTCTGCCTCCAGAGTGCTGGGGTTAAAGCCGTGCACCACCAACATCCAGATTCAAGTCTGAACTTTTGTAGATGATAACATTGTGTCCAATATAAAAGATTGGACACACCTGCTGGTGTATCCTCATCAATATAAGCCTTGAGAAAGAAACTTAAGAATGAACCAGATTCTATTTTAAGGCCCCATCTCTAACATGTCAAACTGTGGCTTAGTGCATAAACACTGTTCAGGGATTATCTCATGTGGCGTATTATTATTTCACACTGCAAGCTGATGAAGGCAAAGGAACCCTATCTGTTAGAGCCATTTCCAGCCAACACCTTCAACCTTCGGAGGCATGCCGGGCAAGGAGAAAGAAGCACTTTCTGCAATCCCTCTGGCCATGTGCCGGACACCTTCAGAGTCTTCAGAGGCGGGACGGGCAAGCACTTCCTGTAATCTCTCTGGCCATGTACTGGACACCTTCAGAGTTGCTCCTGCCTTTGTTTTATCCTTTCATGGAGGATGTGTGAGAGAATCTGATGATCACAGCTCAAAATAACAGCAATTAGCAAACGTTGGTTCTCTTCTTTAAAAGAATGCCCTAGAATGTACTGCTTAGGACGGAATGTTTAGGCCCCTGTAAAATCTGAAGCCTATTTCCCAGTGCAGTGGTCCTGGGAGGTGGGATGCTGGGGAAGGCATTAGGTTATGAAGTCAGAGGCCTTCTGAGCGCACTTACTGCCCTTATAAAAAGACACAAGGGAGCTTGCTTGCTCTCGCTCCCTTCTCTGCCCTGTGACAAGACAAGCAGCCATCTGTGAGCCAGGCAGCCACCAATCTAAATAGCCTCTGACCTCAAAGCTCTCAGCCCTCCAGAACTATGAGAGACAGACACTACCCTAGGCAGACATTGTCAGAACCCAATTGCAATGTGTGACACTGGTTGGTATCTGGTTCTGAATTGCTTGCTTGATGATGGGGGCTGCTGTGTGTGTGTGTGTGTGGGAACCACACCTTTTGGAGTAGTTGATTGTTGTGTGAGCGTGAGTGTAGCAACATTAAAGGCATTTGACACTTCCAAGTTTTCCCTAACAAGCTGTCTTCTAGGCCACTGTAGTCAACTAAGGTTAGAGTAACAGCAGGACTGGACACCGTCACCATCCTCCCCCTTCCCGGCACTTGCAAGGTGTGCTATGCCATCCTCCCCCTTGCCCGGCACTTGCAAGGTGTGCTATGCCATCCTCCCCCTTCCCGGCACTTGCAAGGTGTGCTATGCCATCCTCCCCCTTCCCGGCACTTGCAAGGTGTGCTATGCCTTCCAAGATCTTTGTAGCTTTTCTCATTCAAGTATGTATCCCCATTCTACAAATGAGAGAACAGGAGTTTGGGGAGGCCACTACTAAAGATGACCCTTTAGGAACACCTTCCATCAATCTATGGGCTTCTAGGCAAGCGCTAAAGCACCTTTAGCAACAGCTGGCCAGGTGGTGGTGATGGGCAGAGATAGGCAGGTCTCTGTGAGTTCAAAGCCAGCCTGGTCTACGGAGCAAGTTCCAGGACAGCAGAGTGGTTACACAGTGAAACCCTGTGTCAGAAAACAAAAGAAAACACCAAAAATATCAACCAACCAACTAAACAAACTAACTAACTAACAAAAAAGTTAAGAAGTGAACTTAAAGAAAATAAAGAAAGCAAGGAAAAAAAAGATTCATTCCTGTAATCTCAAAACCTGGGAGGTAGAGGCAGGAGGGTTGGGAGTTCAAGATCATGCTCAGCCAGACAGTCAGTGCAAGACTATCCTGGGCTACATGACACACCGTCGGGGGCCGGGGGGCAGCGGTGAGAAAGTAAAAGAAAAAAAAAGAAAGATAATATAGAAAAAAAGGAGAAAAAGTAAGGTAATATAGGAAAAAAAGAAAGGTAATATAGGAAAAAAGAAAGATAATATACATATGAATTCATGTCAACTCTAATTCTTACTAACTAGGGGACTCTGGGAAAGTTACTTAGCCTCTCCAAGCCTTAGTTTCTTCATAAATGAATCTGGGTTGTAAATCCAAATGTATTTATGTTCTGAGCTTGATAGTCAGGAACACAGAAAGAATTTTGCCTCATAGAGAGGCTGGAATAGTGACATCAAAAGTTCGTTTCCACCCCAGCTTCTCTGAAATGCAACCTTGTAACAACCTGGGAAATGTTGTCATCATCGCCCCTCAGCCCATCAGGACACAGCAGAACAGGAAGCCAGCATCAGAAAATGACTTTGGGAGGCCCGGTGATAGCTCAGTTGGTAAAGCACTCTCCTTCAAACGAGGTGTGCATCAATCCCTTAGAGCCCACTTAAAAGAACAAAGCCAAGTGTGATGGCATGAATTCGGAATCTCCGTCTAGCCAGAGAGAGACCCTATCTCAAAACGAACACAAAACGCACCAGGATGTGGCCTTCCAGATGGCTATCAGGTGAAGCACGTGCCATCAAGCCTGATAACAGCTTTATCTCTGGCACCCGCATGGTAGAAAGGGAACCAACTCCTGCAAGTTGTCCTGTGGCATGGTTAGACCCTCGCAATAAATAAATTAATGTAATAAAAACCCCATAAAATCAAGATTCATGGCAATGAGGAATAATAATGGAGTTTTTCATTCTCCACACATATGCACCACACACATCATACACACATACACACATGTGCATCATACATACACATATCACACACACCACACACACACACAGAAGAAAATGACTTGGGTACAGAAAACTAAAGGTATGCAGTAGTAAATACTTTGAAAGGCGTGGACAATAAATATTCACACTCTGGGTTCCCCGGCACACAACGATGCTCCCAGCCCTTTACAGAGTGAGGGAGGAGGACAGCAGGTGTGAGGACAGCCGGGTAACTAGAAACAGCATTGAGATAGCAGGAGAGGAAGCTCGGTGTAGATCATGTGCCTGGCATCGTGAGGCCCTGGGTTCAGTCCCCAATACCGAAGATTAATCATTCCTATAATAAATTACTTCACTTTTATCTTGAGCTACAGACAACACTATTCCCTAATATGAGCATCCCACAGCCTCAAAGTAGATGCCTCTGGGTTTGTTTGTTTTTTTTTCTTTCTCTTTTCCCAGTTCTAGGCTAGTGACAAGTTCTAGCTCTAGGTTTACAAATTTTGGTGACACTGAGAACAGCTAAACTGTTCTAAACATCTAGATTAGAGGTTACAATCAATCAGAGGTGCAGATGTCAAAGCATTTTCAGTACCAGAGAAACATTCCCACAGCATCCTCAGGACCATCCACACCCAGTGTCAGGCTCCAGACCACGTGGCACCTGATGGGGAGTCTCGGTCCCTACCTGCCCACTAGGGGTTCAGTTTCTTGTGGTTAACAGGGAGTGCATTTTGGCATGCTGGCTCAAATGCTCAGGGTAGCTCATTAACGCTCTTGTACACCAGGTCTGTAAAGCTGATAGGTAAATGCCACCAAATACAACCAACTTGAAGAACTCTTTTCCTAGTCAATTGTTGGCTATCTTCATCTAATTATCAAACTTAAAATATGAATACACTCATGTGTGTGTTTGTGCATGTGTGTGAGTGCACACATGTGTACATGAGCATGTGTGCATGAGTGTGTGAGAGTGTGTATGTGCGTGCGCATGTGTAGCCATCTGGATAAATTCTAGCTCGCTTTCAGCTCCCACATCCATGTGGCAAGGACTTTACCATCCTTGTTTTAAAGTTTCAAGTTAAGGGAATGTGTTGGAGAGCACAGGAGACAGAGATTCTGCAGTCAGGAAACTCTCCTTAGGTGGGGAGGGGAAACAGACATTTACAAAAACACACACTGTTGAATGAATACAAAAATAATCCCTGAATAAAGTAAAAACTGTCACTTTCCAGTAAAAGAGCTTTGGCTAAACTGTCATGGAAATGGAGCAGGAGGATTACTTTTCAGACAGAGGGTTCTGAAGCAACACCTGGAAAGAGAGCCTGGGGACCAGGTACCCAGTGTGTGTGCGTGTGTGAGTGTGTGTGTGTGTGTGTGTATACAAATGTGTGAGTACGTGTGTATATATGGTGTGTATGCCTGTGCACATGTGAGTATGGACCATGGTACACGTTGTCAGAGGACAACCTTGGGGGTCAGTTCTTGCTTTCCAGCTTTTGTGAAGTCACAGTTTTTGAACTGTATTGAAACGAGTTTGTGCAAGATGGGGCCCCCTGAGTCTGGCTTGGCAGAGCATCACTGGACAGACATAGGCCAGGCTCAGCACACCTCAGGCTGGCTCCTGCACAGCCACCACTGTCATTTCTGGTCACCAAAGCCTTGCTTACATGTTGGGTGGGGTTCCTCTCACTCACCTGCATGAGGGGTATACAGACTTTCAGTTGAATTCTTTCATTTGTATCATTCTTTCTTTTGAAATAATTGGAGACAACTCCCCCCCCCGCCAGCCCCAAACTAAGCAGAGCAGAGAGGGCTACCTGCCGTCAAAGAAGAAGAACTTCCCACGGCCATTCTTTTCTCCATGCACAAAGTTGCCCTCAAATCTGTCTGTGGAGGAGTAGGTGACAGTGCAGAATCCGTGTGGTAGTCCATCATCATCCAGGTGTCCTGGGGAGAGAGAAGCACATGCCACGCCTTAACAGCAGACTCAGGTGCCCCTTCTTTGTGTGGCACCAGATCCCCTGCATCTGGTGGTTGTGAGCTGCTCAGCACGGGTACTGGGAACTGAACTCAAGTCATTCGCATGAGTAAGTAGCAAGTGCTCTTAAGTGCTGAGCCCTCGCTCCAGCCCCTGCTTCTTCTGTGTCTTGAAAAGACTAAGCATGCAGAACTTGATGTTTTGTATACTTTCATGAATGGACTGGTCCACACAGAAACTCCTGGGCACGTTTGCGGACATGGAGTCTGTACCGGCTTGCCCTTTCCCTGGGGCTGGGATTTATTACCAATAGGGCCATCTGCAGCACTGGTTACCACTTCCCAAGCTTCCCCATAGAACTTACGTTTGGAGTGAACATCCCAGCTTCTCATCTTAACTGAAATGTGGCTCAGATGGCACTGAGTTATAGTCTCATTGCCACATCCCCTGCTCTGCAGTTCTTACATGTTGCAAACATGCAATATGACTTTATATGTTATCCTACAGTATTGTATTGAGCACTAGTAGAGTCTGGATGCACCGTTTTATTTCACATTCAGACAACAAAGGAGAGTCACGTGCCTAAAACTGCCCTAGTGTTTAATTGTTCATCACTGAGAGCCCTTCCTAACCCTAACCCTTGCTAACCCTAAATTCTCGAGTTTACAAACTCATTTCATCTTTGAAAGTTTAACTGTAGTTTTTCATACCCCCTATGTGTCAGAGGGCTTATGTTTTAAATGGAGATGAACATCTCCATACTGCCACTGAAATAGGGATCTTGGACCCCAGAAACAAGTCCTTACGCTCACCTTTGACCTACTGGTACTTCCTGGTTACCAACTACCCAGCACACATCTGGAGTCAGCATCTAAATGTCTAGGTTCTTTATTACAACCTCATGTTTCACAAACCCAGGAACCCCGCATTAGCACCCCCATCATCGGGGGGAGTAGGCTTTTCAGAGGTGAGTGGAAATAAAGGCAGCAATCATTCTACTGTCTTTTCCCTGGAGTCAACAACCCAGATCATGGGTGGAAATATTAAATACTATGCATTGCAAATTTATGCATTGCACAAAAATGTGACTTCCAGATGGCTCACTGGCATAAAAACACAAACCTTGCCACCACAATGAACTGCTTTTAATCTCCTAAAACTTTTAAGATGATAGAGTACTAGGTTAAGTATAAAACTTTTAAGATGATAGAGTACTAGGTTAAGTATAGAACTTTTAAGATGATAGAGTACTAGGTTAAGTATAGAACTTTTAAGATGATAGAGTACTAGGTTAAGTATAGAACTTTTAAGATGATAGAGTGGTAGGTTAAGTATAGAACTTTTAAGATGATAGAGTACTAGGTTAAGTATAGAACTTAGTGGCGAGTGTTTAGATAGCCTGAGAATACAAATAATCTCCAGCACTCAAAAAAAAAAAATAGAAAAAGATAGACGTCATAAAGAAAGTAGTCATAAGGAAATACAGTGTTCTTTTTATTATTGACTACTGAAATGTTTTACCACTCTACCTGACTCCATATGGAATGAGTTACCTAGAACATCGTACAACAATACATGCTATTACTTATTTATGTATGTGTACATGTGTGCCTGGTTGAGTTTATGTACTCCAGACGCATGTAGGAGTACATGCGTCTTGCCAGAATGGGTCACTGGATCCCCTGGAACTGGGGTTACAGGTAGTGAGTCATATGTCAGGGCTGGGGATCTAACTAAGGTCCTCTACAGAAGCAGGCAGTGTTCTTAGCATGCGCTGTCTCTCCAGCCCCTCTGTGGCTGTGCAAACACACCACACACCGTCCTATATGGAAACACACCACAGATGGGTTAGTTCCCTTCTTTAAACACAACCTTTTCCTACAATTGTCAGGGAATCAATGGGCAGCAGGGAACTAGGCCCAAATTGCTTTCTTTTGGTAGAAAAACTGAATTATATGATGTAATTCTGACACTTGAGTCATGAGAAATAATTTGGATAAGTCTTTCTAAGTATCTGCTGATGACAATCTTTCATTGAAACAGATCAAATTTACTTTTTTCTCTTTTAATAAAAAATACTCAATATAGAGCTAAAAGCTTTCTCTTATGAAACATTGAAATCAATTAAATGTAGCCATTAACATTCCTATGAATGTAGTGTCCTACTTTTGATTTAGGTAGAGATATCAGAATAATTAGGTTAGCCTCTCAGGAGAGTAATTGCTGGTGTGTTGAAAATACTCCCGCAACAGAAAAGGTTCGCACGCTTCAGATTTTAAACAGCGGTTGTTAATAAAACCGATTTCCTTCTTGAAATCAAGAGAGGCACGATAAACATGAACACGGAGGGGAAGGAATCCAGTGTAACCCTCCCTACTTTTCTCCCTCCCTTGTCCTAGTTCTGAACCAAACTCTGAAGGTGTGCCGCCCTCTGCGATGAACTCATATATGAAAGAAAAACCGGAAGGTGTTGTGTAACTGAAGGCGGGCACAGGGCAGTTCTGACTCCAGGTGGGAGGGCACCCAAACCTCACCCTGCTCCATATGGACCCCCTCTGCAAGACCCCAATGGGAAAGGAACCCTTTCACTGTTTCCTAGAGGGCTGCTGAATGACAGACACTTCTCAGGTGACCTTGCGCATTTAGAAGAAGATACACGGGCGGGGCGTTCTCTGCTAGTCTGGCTGCATATGCAAGTTCTGAAATCTGTGGGACCCCAGCAGGGCTTCCAGCTTGACTTGTTTTCTCTTGCATCCTTAGGTGCAGGCCATGATAAGCACTAGGGACTAGAGAGTGTGTGCGTAATTGCCACACATATTGTGGGTTTCTGGGCAGTGTAAAACTGCAGAGTAGCTACCCCATACATCAGCCAGTAAGCTGGGTAAGGTAGCATAGCGAAAGCTTGCATTCATCCTGCTGGGGATTAGGAGTTTAAGGAGGACCACAGCACATAGCAAGTTTGAGGCCAGCCTCGGCTGCACAGCATTCTGTCTTTAACCCAAAACACAACAGAACAGAACGAAGTTTGAAACCAGCCTGGGCTGCACAGCATTCTGTCTTTAACACAAAACATAACATAACAGAACGGAACAGAACAAACAGCCCCAGTCAAAACAATAACAAAAAGACTTGCAAGGCAGAAAAAGCTGGGGAACAGATTAGATTGCTACAATCCTGTTGCCTTGGTACATTAGTGCTGTGAGAGACCTCGGCACAATTCTTCAAATGCTGCTGAGACAACAAGGTTATGTGGTATTACAACCTTAGTAGCCAGCCTTTGGGGAGGAGGCTACTTTTCAGAGAAAGAAACTGTGAAGCTCCTCTTTGGGGCGGTGGGGGGTTAGGCTAAGTGCTTTCTTTAAAACTTCACGACATTACCACATGACCTGCAAGAGAATGCCCATCTCTCTAAATGAAAGGCCCCTGCCTCAAACCCACCAATGCACTTTCTTTCCAGAGAAAGGCAGACAAGATGGGCGCTCTTTCTCCTTGCTGATGGCAAGAATGGGATAGCTCTAGGAGCAGGAGGTACCAGACTGCACCTAAAGGCTTCCTGTTCTATCAAGCATCAGATGGGGCTGCTCACAGGGATCCCAACCCCTCTCCGGCCCTCCCAGGGCACCAGCGGACACGCGAATAAGAGGAGTAATTTAAAAAGAAAGTGAAAGAAAAACTGTTTAGGGAAACAAAGGAGACCAAGGGGCGAGCAGGAGACTGTGGGGCCTACATACGCCTATGAAAATACTCTTACATAACCCAGTACCAAGTATGACGAAAAGAAAATATACGTTTAAAAAAATCAATGTTTCAAGTTTTATGACCATGTAAATGACTATGCACTATTGAGCTAGATAGTGTACTGTGATTTGCTGTCTTCTCATATAACTTTTCAACTTAAAAATTCATCTTCAAAAACAAGCAAATGAAAAAAAAAACATTAGCAATGACCAGACTCCTTATAGAGAAGTGCAAAGAGTCTTTGTGGGCAGGCTGCAGAGAAATGCCAAGATTCTCAACATCAGGCCCTGGTTGCAAATTCCGAGCCCGTGCCCGTGTTGCCTAACTCAGTGTGGAAACTCTAGTCTTTGCTGAAGACCACAGAATGCGCCGAGTCAGCCAACCGCCTTCCAGGCCGGTTCCCACTACACAGAAAGTGGGCATCAGGCCCAAGCAACAGGCCGAGTTCACTGGAATGACCACTTCGTGCTAATAACACAGCCTCAGCAAGTGAGCCACCCAGAATCCATCCCGGACAGCCTGAATGGTAGCCAGAGAGAAGGAGAAGCAACGTAACTCACCCCCCATCCCGGGCCATTTTGTTCTAAATATTTTTCTCTACCAAAAGAATAGAAAGGTAAAAATTTCCCTCAGGGTTACCTCTGAGCAGAGGTTTTTTTTTTTTTTAACTTGATACGATTAGTCTGTTATGGTGCTGGCCTTGGAGCAGAGATGGCCCCTGACCGTCTCCGGCTTACCCACAGAGACGCAACAGTGCCGTGCCTGTTTCCCTCAGAACAAGAAACCCTGACCTATGCACACTGCTGGTTTTGCTGACAAAACACTGCCGTCTCCTCCCCACCCCCTACAAAAGCCATTTAAGAAAATGCAAGCTTATTAATGCAAGGAGTGTGTGTCCCTTCTCCATGATGCAGTAACAGTGGCTGTGAAAGGCTCAGGAGCTCAAATGTCACCTGGCGAGGGCGGTGGCTTTCACGTGACCCTCACGGACCAGCTGCAGTCAGAACACAGCACACCGTCCCAGACACACAACCTAGGTGCACGTAAGAGACAGGCAGGACGGACAGTTGCTAACAAAAAGAATCCGCGCTGATCTGCGGCGATTGGCGCTGCTCGCTTCCATCTCGCTGCTCGTTTCCATCTCGGCTCCCAGTTCTGAGGACTCTTGATACGTTCTCGTCTTGAGCGCTTCTCCCTAGTGTGTCTTATGCATTTCCAGCCTTTCCTTCTCTTCTCTTTTTCTATGCTCGTAACTGCATATCTGGTACCACAAAATCCTCCAGGAGATGGCCTCAGCTGTGTTTTCAGCCCTCCAGCTGCCTGCTGGACAGTTAAACTTTCCCGGCAGCGCTCCACAGCCTTCGTTCCAACGCACAGCCTAGCACAGCCTACCCTTTCGGCCTGCGACCCAGCTTCCTTTTCTCATCTGCCCCTTGGGGGTCATTTCTCCTTTTCAGCCCCATGTTTCAGCTACAGTGGAAGTATTTTCTGGATGGGCCGAACAATTCCACGCCTCTCTCCTCCACTCACCGAACTCCCCTTAGCTCGACGCTGCCACTTCTCCAGGGAAGCCTTATCCCATCTACTTCTCTGGGCTGCAAGGAATTGTGAGCCTCAAGGTGCTCTCATGCACATGTGAGCCTGCGCGTGCGTGCATGCATGCGTGTGTGTGTGTGTGTGCGCGCGCGCGTGTGTGTGTATGCGCGCATGCGCACGATGTCCACAATGCCAGTCCCAGGATACACAGGATACACAGATGTACATACAAGGAAAACATTCATGTATATAAAATAAAATAATAAATCTAAGCAAAGAAGGCTTTTTTTTTTTCTAAAGGGAAATGCTTTAAAAAGGTAAAAAGAGCCGGCGTTGGTGGCGCACGCCTTTAATCCTAGCACTCGGGAGGCAGAGGCAGGCGGATCTCTGTGAGTTCAAGGCCAGCCTGGTCTACAGAGCGAGTTCCAGGCCAGCCTCCAAAACAATACAGAGAAACCCTGTCTCGAAAAACCAAAACCAAAACAAAACAAAACAAAAAACTTAAAAAGGTAAAAAGATGTAGTGGGTATGGTCATTCATGTCATCATTCTGCATTCAGGAAGTTGAGGCTGGAGGACTGGTCCAGGCCAGCCTGGGCTACACAATGAATTCCAGGCTATAAAATACAGAATGAGACACTGTTGGGAAAGAAAGGAAGGAAGGAAAGAAGGAAAACGTGGGTAGGCAAGGAAAAAAGAACAGAACAGTAGGGCAATTGACAAAGGAATTTCTCCAGTCTAGCCTGCCCTCCCTTCTTTGACAGGAGTTCTTAACTTCTCTAAGTTTCTCTATAAAATGAGGATAATATAGTACCCACCTCCTAAGACTGGATGGATAATGTCTGAGAAGCACTTAGCACAGACTCTGCACATAATAAGAGCTAAGCAATTACAGAGATGATGGTAATAATAGCCGTGACAAGGAAACCAGCGAGAAGACAATGTGTATGCAGAGAGTTGAGCAGCTGGTATGAAGCATCAGGACACCCAGATGAGATTCTATTTGGAAAAGTATCACAGCCATTTATACCAGTTCAGAGATGTGTGTTAGATTTTATGTGAAGAGCAGTGCAAAGTGCCAAGGCCAACAACATCTGGAGAAAGGCCCAAGGATGCAGTTTCCTTCGAGCACACACTTGCTTCAGGCACCCTGAAAATCTCAGCCTGAGTTGACTCTAAAGGCTTTTCTTTTCTGACTTATTTTATTTTATATGTATGAGTGTTGGTGCCCACAAAACTGGAACAACTGGTGGTTGTGGGTTGCCATGTTGCCATGTGGATTCTGGGAACCAAATCCAGGTCCTTGGCAAAAGGAAATGAAACGCTCTTAAGCACCAAGCCCTCTCCTCTATTTTTTTAAAGAGAGAATGTAGCCATTGGTCCAGGTTCTGCTGGTCTAACTCTGTTAGCTGGCTCCCAGCCTTAAGTGATCTGTTCTCCCTCAGCCTTCCAAGTAACTGGAACTACATGAATGTCCCACTATTCCTGACTTTTCTATGGACTTTAAAATCTTAAAAGTAACTTTCAGGCTGGGGTATGTATCTCAGTGGCATATTGCTTGCCTAATACACACAGCAAAATAAATAAATGAAATTTTGTTGTTGTTCTTTTAGGTATAGCTGCTCACACCTGTAATCCCAGCACTTGGGTAGAGGAATGTTCAAAAGTTGAAGTCATCGTGGACTACAGAGATCTTGTTTCAAATAAAATAAAATAAAACCACAAAAAGCAAAACAAGAAAGTTATTCTACTTGTTTACTTTTAGGTAAAATTGAGTGACTGCTTAAGCCATGCCTGGGTTTAAGCTTGCTGTTGTAGCATAATTATTAACTGTGCCTTTCTTGCTCAAATAAGCTCCTGATTAATAATAGCACTGTCTGCTCATCCTATATAACAGGCCTCCCTGTTTATGGAAAGAAACTTCAGTGCTTTGAATCCAGTGGAATAACTCATAATCAACATGGAAGCATACTTTCGAAATTACTATCTTGAGACTGGGTCTCATGTAGTTGAGGCTGGCTTTGGATTTGCTCTGCAGCTGTGGGTGACCTTGAACTCGGGATCCCCCTCCCTCCTCCCCCTCCATATGCAGGTGTGTACCAGGTTTTTATTCACAAACCAATGCTAGGAGCATAAATAGCAGAGCGCATTTTCAACACAGTAAGTAGTACTGGCGAAGGTGACTCAGTCTGAGGCACTATCTGTGATCAATGGTTTGTTTTCAAATTTTAAGTAGAAATGAAACAAGCAAAGTTGTAAGTAAAAACAAAACAAAACAGAAGGAGGAGGGCCGGGAGAGATGGTTCAGCTGTTAAGAGCCTTGGCTGCTCTTCCAGAGCATCTAGGTTCAATTCCCAGCACCCGCATGGCAATTCACAATCATCTGCAACTCCAGTTCTAGGGGATCCAACACTCTGCAGGAAAAACACCATAGCACATGAAATAAAAATAAACAAGTTAAAAAACTAAAAACATATTGTTAAAAAAGGGAGGAATGGGAGCAACACTAGCAATTTGCTAAGAACTTTTTCCCCCTATCATAACAGAAAGGTACAATAAGTCAATAACTTGAAAGTTAAAGGTTTCTCTGTGGTTGGTTCCTCTGGACCTCACTAAATCTCAGCATTGAGTTTACTTAGAGAAGTATAAGCTCTGTGAATCCACAACATTTCTAGTCTCTTCTAAAGTTACAAGCAAAACCATGCAGTTTAAAATTGTTTTTCAAAACTAAATGAAGAAATAAGTTTTACAACTTAAATTAGAATGGATGCCTTTCCAAGAATTAAAAAAAAATATTCTACTTCATCTCGCCCTAACCCTCCAGCAGCCTGTAAAGCAGTTAGGTTTCTGAGCGCATCAAAATGGATCTTTCCACTGTAACACTAACAAATGCATATCCGTATGCATTGTGAAACGCCGCCACTTTAGTTTTCTTTATCGTTTGTCAGAACCTGTTTATACAAATTAGATCAAAACCAGATTCAGCCAGCAACTTAAAATTATTTACTGCGATGCGCCGTTTAACAAATCCCGGAACAGCACTACTCAATCTTGCAAAACATCATGGGAACATTATCTGGGATAGGGTAAAATAAATAATAAATACGCTAAAGAATGTTTTACAGTGTTCTTTGTACAAAATGATAACCTCTCCTGACACAAACAACGAGATTGTATAACCTCCCCACCGTGTCTTTAGAAGTTGGGGGCTAAAAAAAAGAAAAAGAAAAAGAAAAGAGGCGGAGAAACTCAGCAAAAACATTGTGGCGACAAAAGTCGGGGGAGGGGCGCTGGAGAAGGGGCGGAGAAACCCGACACCCAGGCGGTGATATCACCCTCAGCAGCCAACAGCTCGGGATTCAGAAAGTTAAGTGTCACCCAGCAATTTCGTTCCCGGCTCGAGCGCCGGCACCCCGCTCGGAAGCAGGGAGGGGGAGGGAGCGGGTGGCTGAGTTCGCCCGGGGGCAGCGCAGACCCGGACTAGCTGCCTCCGGGGCGCCGAGCGTTCGAGCCGGGTGGGGAGCGCGGTGTGCACTACCTAGCAATGATTTCATCTTTTTTTTTTTTTTTCCGGAGGATTGGCCGGGGCTGCCATGTGCCTGGTGTGCAGCCGGGTACTTAGCAATGGGAGACGCACCTAGACACGGCCCTGGTGGCCGCGGGACGCAGCGACTCAGCCAGGAAAGGGCAGAGGGTCGGAGAGAGGAAGTCGAGGTGGCTGAAACGCAGCTGCTCCTCGGAGATCACCGGCCTCAAGGGACTGCCCCCTGCGCCCTCCCCTCCTCCATCCCCGCAAGAACCGAGGCCAAGGTGCCGGGGGCAGCTTCGCAACTCCCAGGGAGGATGCTGCTGTGGCCCGTCGGGATGCTGGGGCCGAGCCTTCCTAGGGCCGCGGACCCCGCGGGGCCCCATTCCCCGCCGCGCCCCACGCGCTCCCGGCGGCGTGGCGGTGGCAGTGCAGCCCCCTTCCGACCGGCCACCCGCTTAGGGACCGGGGTGACCATCGGCCCAGCCCGGCGCGCGTCGCAGACCGCCACTCTTTTCGCGCTCGCGGCCCCAGGCGCCTCCCCCAACCCCCAGGTCCTGGAGAAATGCCGGTCGTACCTTCCACGGCTTCCTCCACCATCTCCTCGTCGCTATCCATGGCGGCTGCGACCCTGCCCAGCACCGGGGCGTGCTGGCCGGCTCCCGTCCCTCCGGGTGCTCGCGGCAGCTGAGCGAGCGCTGGGGCTAAGCCCTGCGAGTTTGGAGGAGGAGGAGGAGGAGGAGGGGGAGGAGGGGGAGGAAGAGGAGGAGCAGCCGGGGCGGATCGCGATGCCTCCCCCTACAGTCCTTTCAATTCCTCGGCCTGCCGCGGCTGCCGCAGCCTCCGTCCCTCCTCCCCTCGTCCCCGGTCCCCGAGGCTCCGGGGTGCAGCCGCCGCTGCAACTTTCTCCTGTGATTCCCCCCCCCCCTTTGTTAGGGAGCAGCTGATCCGCTGACATCACCCGGCGCCGGTGCGCTCCCTCCCTCGCTGATTGACAGTTCCCTGTCCTTTCCCAGAAGTGAGGATCCTCAGAACCGAAGGCGCTTCGGGGCCGCGCCGCCTCGGCTGGGCTGTGGGCAGGCCCGGCGGCGGTTACCTTTTGGCTTGGCGCGCTGCGCGACAGCCACGCGGACCTGGTCGCCGCCGGCTGCTCGATAACCCTGGGGATCGCGGGGGAATCCGTCCTGGGGTTGGAGGGGGCTCGGAGCGCAGCTACCGGTGACTTGGAAATGCGCCGCACAGGCTTTTCCCACCACTATCCCCCTCCAGGATAGCTAAAGCTCTCGCGGAGCAGGGGCAGCCTTTCAGATGCTGCTGAGCCTCTACTTTTCCTCTCGCCCAGGCGCTGCCATCCCCCCGGAGCTACAAAGTGCCTGGCGCACGCAGGAGCGCAGGTGCCCCCCACGGCCCAGCGTGGCCTCCACAAGTCAGTTTCCCAGACTCCAGGGGGCGACCTGCGCTCCGGATTCCTCCCGACCAAGAAGTCCCCAGTCTCCACCCTCTTTCCCATCTCCAGGCCCCTGGGAAGATCCAGGAATGCACCGAACACAAATGGCAGCAGGCTGGTAATCAGGCCTCACCCGAGGCTTGGCAGGTTCCCTCTCGCTCTTGTCTTGGAGACGGAGCCACCAAGTGGAGAACTGGAGCCAAGACCCCGTGTCTAGCCCGTCTCCTCTCGCCTTCTGTCCTGTACGTGTGATGTCCCTAGATGTCTTTCTGGTTTTTCCAACCACTTGGCAGATTCACACGTCTTTGAGGGAAGAAAACCCGGGTTCCCACCCCAGCCACTTAAGAGTGTCATTATAGCTCTACCTCTTACAGGTGGCAGTAAAGGACCGCTTTAAACAGCGGGTTAAACGGATGCAGATGTACACACTGTACCGTGGAATTACCGGGTGCCGGTCTGGCCTTCTGCCAAGAACAGCTACCGCGGCGGGTGGGAGGGATGCTGCGGGAAGCGAGGAAAGTTGTTCCGTTTGATTTTCTGAACAATGAGCCAGGATTTCAGAGCACTTCCAACGCCTGGGAGAGTCAGTGCCCTCGACTCTCTTACTCTCTTCTTCTTCTTCTTCTTCTTCTTCTTCTTCTTCTTCTTCTTCTTCTTCTTCTTCTTCTTCTTCTTCTTCTTCTTCTTCTTCTTCTTCTTCTTCTCCTCCTCCTCCTCCTCCTCCTCCTCCTCCTCCTCCTCCTCCTCCTCCTCCTCCTCCTCCTCCTCCTCCTCCTCCTCCTCCTCCTCCTCCTCCTCCTCCTCCTCCTCCTCCTCCTCCTCCTCCTCCTCCTCTTCTTCTTGGCTTTTCGAGGTTGTCCTGGAACTTGCTCTGTAGACCAGACTGGCCTTGAACTCACAGAGATCCGCCTGCCTCTGCCTCCCTTGTGCTGGGATTAAAGGCATGGCCACCAATGCCCGGCTTCCCCTCACTTCTTAAATGCCCCCTCCCTTTTCTTTTTTAAAGACCTGATCTCCTGGAGCCAATGGCCTCTAACTCACTGTGAACGGAGGATAATCTTGAATTAATGGTCCTGCCTGCATCTCCCCAATAGCAAGCATTGGCCAGCATGCTGAGTTCATTTGACACTGAAGAATCAGCCCAGGTTCTGCCTTGCTAGCAAGTACTCTACCAACTGGGCTGCAGCCCTGACCATTATGGCAGGTTGACAAAACAAACAAACAAACAAACAAATTGGGCATGGTGGTTCAGGCCTTTAATCCCAAGCAGTGGGAAGGCAGAGGCACACAGATCTGTGAGTTCAAGGCAACTGATGTATACAGCGAGTTCCAGATCAGCCAGGGGGTAGAGAAACCCTGTCTTGAAGGGGGAGCATCTAAGAGAAAAATTATAGAGATATTAGGCCCAAATACTATCAGGAATTTTAGCTCCATACTGACTCCTTTAGAAAGCAGAATGTAGTGGAAGATCAGTTAGGGTTAGTGACCCTCAGCTGCCAACATGCCAGGGAGACCCTTAACTGCCACTGTGCCAGGGAGACTGCTTTAGGAGTATGGGTTCCTCTCCCTGGGCATTAGACGTCCTGGTCACACCAGGAGAGACCCCTCTGGTTTAGGCTGGGTTACCCTTTAGGAGTATGGGTTCCTCTCCCTGGGCATTAGACGTCCTGGTCACACCAGGAGAGACTCCTCTGGTTTAGGCTGGGTTACCCTTTAGGAGTATGGGTTCCTCTCCCTGGGCATTAGACGTCCTGGTCACACCAGGAGAGACTCCTCTGGTTTAGGCTGGGTTACCCTTTAGGAGTATGGGTTCCTCTCCCTGGGCATTAGACGTCCTGGTCACACCAGGAGAGACTCCTCTGGTTTAGGCTGGATTACCCTTTGGTCTTTTAGCAGAGTCTACGCCTCTGTAGGGTCCTATGGTTCAGGTTACACTGTACTGAAGTCTTCCAGATCCTCTTGAGGTCTGTCTGTCTTAGGCTTGGTCTCCTTAAGGTCTTCCAGGGAAGGCACCCAGGCTACGCAATATGTTCCTGCAGTGAAAGTCGAAAGAGCACCTTCAGATTATAAGTTTTAATTAATTATGAACTAAAATTTAATTTAAAACATCTTTAAAATATTTGTGTGTGTGTGTGTGTGTGTGTGTGAGAGAGAGAGAGAGAGAGAGAGAGAGAGAGAGGAGAGAGAGAGAGAGGAAAGATACTGTGTGTCTCTGATGGACACTGTGTCTATGAGGGTACCTGGGGGGAGCAGAAAGCATCAGGACACAGGAGCTGGAACTACAGACAGCAGTGAGCCCTTGGATATGGGTCCTCTGGAAGACCAGCAAGTACTCCTAACTGATGAGTCATCTGCGGCCCCATAGCGCATCACTCTAAAGCATCAACTACAGGAACAAGGTTTTACTGAGCGTGTGTGCATATATATGTATGTGTATGTATGTACATATGTGCAGTAGCGTGTACATATGTGCACATGTATGAGTGTGTGGAGCCAGAACACAACTTCATATAATGATAATGTTGTTCCTTTTTTGGGTAGGCTCTCTCACTTGCCTTGAACTCACAGAGTAGGCTAGGCCTCAGAAATCACCTGTTTCTTCCTTCCCGGTGACTGGGATTACACCCATGGTCCTTCGGATTAGCCTCTCTCTTTTAAAGCATGCATTCTGGAGACTGGACGTCTTCCTGGCCCTCAGTTGGATGTTTTGAAAGGGCATTTACTGCTTCATCCCATATGGTATTCCCTCTTATTTTCAGTTTTCACATATCACCCCCTTCCTTACACATGACACCGGTGTCCAAAGAACATCAAATACTCATCTCCTTCAGGTACTGGACAGTAAAGGTGCTGGAAACCCAAGGAAGAAGCAAACATATTTCTTTACTGAAAGGGGGGCAATGTCAGACGGGCAGGAAAGGTCTCCTCAGTGACCCAGTGTGACAGAGGCCCATGGCGGGAGAGGGTAGGTGGGAGAGGGTATGTGGCGTGAGGGTATGTGGCGTGAGGGTTGGGTCCGTCACAGTGTTACCTCTTGCCTTTGGTTTCGGAGGAGCGTCCTCTGGGAGGAGTGAGCTTTTCCCAGCCTGTGTTTCTGAGCAGTCGACCTGTGTCATGGGCTTTCCTGTGCTACTTCCATAGGGTCTGGGACCCATGCCCACTCCCTGCCTTACACGTGGAAGGGATGGACGAAGAGCAGCCAGAGCCCTTCCTCGCTGTTGCAGGGCAAGGAAGGAACTCAGCAGCTCTTCCCACAAGGCAGGCTGCAGTCAGGACCGGGCATCTCTTGGCTCTAGACCACAAATTTAGGCCAAATGTTTGCTGGTTCCCTTTTTGTGTGTTTGAACCTTTACAGATGGTTTTTGTGCTGAGTTTCCAGCCTGACAGATCTTTATTTGTCCCAGAACCCAACAGAGCGTCTGGAACTAAATGTAGGATGAAGGTTTGTTCTATTTTCTGTCAGCAGTGCTGAGTTTTCCTCAGACTTGACCCTCTTCTTGTGATTTGGCCAAGCGCTTTGCTTCAGCACAGGTCTGAAGGGCATCTTTTGCTCTGCTCTCCTGGCCCCTGTCTTACAGAGCTCTTCACTGAGAGCCAGCTTCCCCTGTAGTCCTCTGTCCCTACCAATGGGGTCACAGGCTAGTAAACCAGGAAAGCTCTTAATCGGAGACAGTGTGCAGCAACAGCAGCAGCTGGCCGGTCCTAACTCATAGATTCTAGCACGGTAAGATGTGTAAAAGACAGTCAACAGGAGCCCTGGTATGAGGGTCGCTTGCATGCTCACACGGAGCCCTGGCTTTTCTGCTCTTATTTATTGATTTATTCTGGTTAATTCGTTATTGTGGTGCTGAGGCTCTGTGCATACGAGGCAAGCATGCCACCACTGCTCCTAACCCCTTGCCAGTGGACTCAGGAAGGCCTCTGTCTACTAGCTGACCACACCCTCAGCCCCGCACTGGTGGCTTTTAGACAGGACTTTATCACCGAGCCACTACTCCCCAACCCCTATCTCTCAGGAGCATTCCACAGCTAAGCCATGACCCCAGGGCATGGAGTGACTTTTCTAAGTGTCTGTGGCTCAGCTTCTACTGTCCCCACCCATGGGGCTATTTCTCCAGACTCAGTGTGGGAATCCTGACTCCCTCCTCCAGTGTCAACAACAATCAAAACACCCAGATACTGTGAGTCATGTCCCCAGCAGGGGCTTTCCCCAGAGAACTCACAGGATCCATCTCCTTGCAAAAGTGAATACAGCTCTGCGATCTTCCCGTATTTAAGGCACTTCCCGCAGCCAGGGTAAACAAGCTTGAGTCAGCAGCTGTGCTTTCGGAGCACCCTGGGGAAAGAGCCAGTGTGGCCTTCCCTTGTCTTGGTGCTTAGTGAAGAACTATTCCTACCCTGCCCCAGCAGATCAGAACAGGAAGACCCCAAGCATCCTGCAGGTCTGGGTGCTCCCCGGTGTTTAG